ACAGGCTGGGACATGGCCGATGTTCCCACGTACCCGAGCCCCTGTTCAGAGGGGGTTCAAAGGGGCGTGGGGACCGTGGGCTGAGCCCCCCAGGGCCAGGCTGCACCGGTGACCAGCACAGTGGCCATTGTGGGACCTTCATCAAGAGCACTCCTCAGCCTCCCTTCCAGAGAACACTGGGTGCAGGGGGTGCGGGGGAAAGACGTAAAGCAGAAAAGTGCTGCAAGGGAGTGGGAGAGGGTAGTGGGGGGGGTCCCTGCTGACCCCTGACCTTGGGCTCAGGTGGGGACCACCAGGGCCTAGTGGTTCCTGGAATGTGAGCCCACGGACAGGGCGCCTGCTGCCAGCTGTTGCCACATTTGTGGCAAAATGAGAAAAATAAGGACAATATAGTGAGGTTTTCGTAGAGCTCAGACGCACTCGACATGAAGCAAGGCCCTTTCACTTGTACTGTATATTTTCGTGTGTGTGTGTGTGTGTGTGTGTGTGTGTGTCTAAAAGGACCTTTTCTTTGACATTTCCTTTTAATGTCCTTAACTCAGCAAAATACAAACCTGGTGACCGTGTCAGATCCTAGGTTGTTTTCTGGAAATGTCAGCACCCTGTGAAATCTGACAGATGGGAGCCACTGGGCTAGCTCTGGTCTTGGGTGAGACCCGGAGGGGAGGCAGTTGGGTTTTTTTTTTTTAAGTTTATTTATTTATGAGAGAGAGAGACAGTCTGAGTGGGGGAGGGTCAGAGAGAGAGGCAGACAGAATCCGAAGCAGGCTCCAGGCTCCGACGCGGGGCTCAAACCCACAGACCGTGAGTGAGATCATGACCTGAGCCCAAGTCAGACACTCAACTGACTAAGCCACCCAGGCGTTCCCCCTACCCCCACCTGTTTTGTTTTGTTTTGTTTAAGTTTAAGGGAGTTGGGTTTTAACTGAGGGACGATGTCTCAATGGCTGGAAAACCCCCGAGGGTGGAGAAGAGGTTGGGGTTCCTGCCCAGACGGCCCTCATCGCCCCAGAGCCCAGGCAACCCCAGGAAACCCTAGCGGAAGGAACATCTGAGTAGCTGCACAGGGAATTCTGAGAAAGGCCACAGGGCCGGTTCTCCGTGCCACACGCCCTCGGCCTCTTCTCTGACCCGGAGCCAGGAGGAAACATTCCCTTAACACTCACCCCTGCTTTCCCCAGCCCCCCGAGGCCGGCTCCAAAATAGCCCAGGCCCCCGGAGGAGACGTCATGGGGCTGGCTGGCTGCCTGCCCCTCGGAGAGGACAAATATAGAGGGACACCGGACACCGACAGGAGACCCGGGACCTGGGCAGCCCCATGGCTGGGGCGGTGCCTGTCCCCCTCCTTGCCCTGCACCCACTCACAGGCGCCCGGGAGGCCAGCGCCTCCCGGCCTGGCCAACCCACCCTGGGACGTGTCCCAGCAAGCCCGGAGCGGAGCCGGCTGGCCCCAGGGGGCACCGGGCAGAGCTGAGTGTGTCTATGGGGACATCTCCTGTGTCTGGGGGTCTCAAAGCACTTTTATAAGCGTCACTGCCCACAGGCCGCTCCCAGGAGCCGGAGACAAGAAGACCCACCCCTGCCCTCTGTTCTTTCCAGCTTCCGAAGGAGGCCGAGGCTATAAACTGGGGGGTGTGGAAGGTGGAGAGGAGGGCAGGCCGCCGGGCCAAACCCCAATAAACTGCTTCTTGAATCGAGTGGCAAATAATTAGTCCTGATCGCCAAAGCTGCCTCCACCCTCCACTCCCGGGAATTAAAGGTCAAAGGACAGAGCTGCTGACGCAAATGTCGGGGAGACATGCGATTGGGGACAGCTGGGCTCCTGCTCCCGGCTCAGCTGCCCGAGGTCGCCACCCCCCCGGCGCCCCGGACACGGTGTCCCCCGAGGTGGGGCCCTGAGAGCTGGTGCTCCCGGCTCCCTCAGGGAGGGGGGCTCCTCTGCTCCCCCTCCCCGCCCCCTCCCAGCCCCGCTCTAAGGTCACCAGAACTTGACGGGAGGTAAATCGGAAATCCCTGTGAAGTGGTGTTGCCAGCTGCCTGGGAGCCTGGGGACGAGCAGCCGCTCGGTGTCTTGTGAGCTTCCCCTCCCACGCCTGAAACAAGGAGAAACCTCTGCCCGGTCTGCCCCACCGGGTCCCCCTCCCTAGCTGGACCCTGTGGCAGGCACGCCCGCCGCCGCGCCTCCCTCTGTGCAGCAGTGGTGACTCCCAGCGGTCAGTGTGGGACTTGAACTTGGGCCTGGGGCAAGGCTCCTGCAGACCCCGCTGGGCAGCCTCAGCCCAGGGCTGGTGGCCCAGGACTTTGGGGGTTCGGTTTTGGTAAGGGGGGGTTGCTGGTGTTTGGAGTTATCTTCGTCAGTGCTGAAATTTCCTAATTGTACTGGGTCTCGCCCTGAATGTCCCACTATCAGCAAGTGAGCATCAGCGTGTCTGAGAATGCACTATCATCTAGCCTTCAACCTGCCCCTCCTCCTGACTCCCCTGTGTCTATTAATAGCACCACCCCCCTCCTGTCCCTCGGGCTCCAAACCTGCGAGTCATCTTCCACTCCTGCCCCGCACTGGGCTGGGTGCCTGGTCCTGCACTTCGTCACTCTGTATTCACGCTTCCAACCTTGATACTCATGGCCATTACCCAGTCAGCCGGCCTCTTACCTGAGCGACGGCTGCCCTCAGCAATGACGCCACCGGGTCAGGCCTGGGTGTGTGCCCAGCCCCCTCCACTTACTGGCTGTGTGACCTTAGGCAAGTTACTTGACTTCTCTGGGCTGTTTCCTCAGCTGTCAGATGAGGGTAGTGATCACAGTGCCTACCTCACAGAGCATTGCATGAGTTATATGATAGGGTGAACGTAAAGGCCCTGCCACACAGGACATGCTCAATGCATGTCAATTGTCAGGACACCTTCCTTCAGTCCAGCGCCTCCATTTTACAAACCGGGAACCCGAGGCCAGAGAGCTGGTGTGGCGTTCCAGGTATCTTTACAGCATGTGACGGAGCAGGGGGAATGGAAGTTCCTGGAGTCTAGAAGCTTCTCCACCCCTGCCTCCATCATCACATTCCAGAACCCAGAACCAAAGGCCACCTCCTGAGTCCACTGGTCCCATCCACTGGCCTTCAGGGCAGGTCCACCTGGGTAAGGGCTGCGGTCACCCAGTCATAGCAGAGATCTTCTGGAATGAGACAAACTCCAGGTCACGTCCATCAGCCGTGAGTCAGGGCCACCATCTGCAAGGTGCTGAGGGAGGGTGCCCACGTGGACCTGGCACTGCCTTGCCGCCTAGAGGCAGCTGAGCACGCAGGGGCGTGGCCACACACGACAGGCGCCTCCCCCTGCCCCGCCCTCCCGTCCCTCTCCCAGTTCACACTCACCCCACTTCTGTCCCCAGGGGGCCCTCACAGCAGGGGGTGGGCGGGAGGTGGGCCGGCTGACACAGCCAGCTCTCCATCCGGCCGGCTTTCCCTGGAGGCCGATATTCCGAACTGTCACTCCATGCATGAACACCTGGAGCCCATAAACTTGAAACTGAAGGTGGGAGCCTTACCTTATTCTGGGGAGAGATTTTCAAAGGGGACTTTTACCACCGCCCCCCCCCCCCAATCCCCACCCCTGCCAGATTCCAACGGGGGCCTGTCCCAGGGCCTCTGGACGCCTGCGGTGTAAGGCGGCCGTTCTCCGCCAGGCTCTGCTCGCGAGGCATCTGGCAAGGCCAGGGGACGTTTTCGGCTCTCACAGCAGCACGTGCTGCTGGCATTTAGCGGGCAGGGGGCAGGAGGCCGCTAAAGACGGCACAGGGCACGGTGCAGAGCGCACGCGCACAACAGAGAAGCCCCCTGCCCCTCGCGTCCCGGGCAAGAGACCCCGGGCTCGGAGTCCTCTGTCGGGCGGGAAGCCCCTGCCTCCCCGCTGCCTCGAGGGTTGAGGAAAGCAGCGCAAGTGTAGGCCCGCAGGCCCCGGCCTCGCTCCGTCTTCGCAAAGGACCCTCCTGTCCTAAGGCCTTTTGCTGGCCCAGGACCCCCCTAGCTGGGCCTCGGTGGGCGGGGGGGTGGGGGTGGGGCATACATTTCTGCAGTTTTTTGCATTAGAATTTTCTGCAATGATTTCGGTGTTTCTGCTTTACCCTGCCTGGGGTAGAGGTTCTAGAACAGTCCATCCAGTGCTCACTAGCCCTTTCAACAAAGGGAAAGCAGGCCCTGGAAGGAGCAGCCGGCCCTTCTGCCGTGTGAATTGGGTTGGAACCCGGCACTCTCCGTTTCTGCTCTCACGCCTTGGGTCTCCGTGCCTGCGCCTGCGTCTGTCTCTTTGTGATCCATCCGCCCACCCCCTTCACCTGCCCTTGGGGGGTAGAGAGAGGGGAGGCGGATGGAGGCAATCCTCAGACTCAGCGGGAAGACCGTGGACGGAGAGGAGGACTGGTGTGGGAGGAGCCCTGCGGGGAGGCAGGGGGATGACCAACAAGACCTCTCAGGGCGGGCGTGGAGCTGAGCCCGCGAGCCGACAAGGCCTCCCTGCCACTCACTCCAGCGGGCACCTGCTCTTCCTCCAGCCTCAGCCTCAGCCGCGGGGTCAAGTGTCTTCGCTGCAAACACTGTTCCCAAATAAGGCGCTGCCGCCTCCCCTGAGACGGGGCTGGGGTGCCCGACTCAGGTAGAATAGCCTATGCGACTGCGTTGGCGGAGGGTGGCAGGGTCAGGCCCCCTGGCAGCGTGGGAGCCTGCGGCCCCCTTTCTGAGGGCCTCTTGTTGAGACTGGGGGATCCAAGGGGTTCAAACCAACCCCTCCCCCCACGCCCTTGGGTCTCAGCTTAAGGCACCTGTTCAATGTGGTGCAGGGGTGGGGGGAGAGGATCGAGGGCAGGCAGGGCACCACCACCGTCCAGACCCCAGCAAAGGTGCCAGGCTGGGAGGTCTGTCTGGAAGCCCAGCTGACCCCGGACAAGCCCAGACATGCAGCTGTTCCCGAACAGGAAGCGGAAGCGGCCTCGGTGGGGGAGGGCCAGCGCTGAGGAAGGGCGGGGACCAGACCCCGGGAACAGAGAGGCGGAGCCTCGCGACGGAGGGGCCTCCGGAAAGGGTCTGGACCCCGCTCGAGGTAGCAGCCGCCTCCTGCCACGAGGCTCTTCTCTGAGGAAACGTCTTTGTCTTGAGTTGGCAAGTCCTTGCTGATGGCGTGACACCCGGCCTTTCCCTTTTCTTCTGTGCCCGCCTCCCCCGAGCGCCCCACGCTCCTGCCTTCCCAGGGGTGCTCAGAGGCTGGGGCCACCCCACCTCCGACAGTCTTCTGTGGGGGCCCCGTGCTGGCCAGGGGCATCCTGCCCAAGGAGTGATCCCATCAGGAAAGTTCTGGGCTCTGGCCCCTGAGAAGGGCCGGGCGGCCTGGTCGGTGCTGAACGAAGGTTCCTCCCGAGAAGCCGCATCCGTCTGGCCGTTCGCGCCCGCATCCAGCTTTCCCGCCCTTCTCCGCGGCCACAGGCCTTCCTGCCGTCCTCCCGCCCCCACCGAGCGGGCCTCCCAGGCCCTTCCTTCCTCAGCCGCCTGGGTCCTGGGCGCCCTGCGGCTTGGGGCAGGAGGCTGGGCGAGCACGCGGAGCTCGGAGTGGCGTGTGGGTGATTAGGCGCGGTCTTCCCGACCCCAGTGGGGTGAGGGGCAGAAGCCGCCCATGGGGGCTGTTGGCTGTGGTTTGGGACATTCCTAACCACGTGACAGGGGCCTTGGAGCAGCCCTGAACCCTCTCTCAGGCATCGAACTCCCCAGGCTTGAGGATGGCCAGATGCTGGCGTGAGACGCCCCTCTTCCAGGCCCGTGTGTGTGTGTGTGTGTGTGTGCGCGCGTGCGCGTGCATGGAGGGCACTCCGTTCTAGAGCGCCTGAAGGCCATGGAGGCGCTGCAGCAAGGGACCTGGCTCCCAGCCCCCCAGGCTGGCCTGTCTCCTCCTTGGGGTCCGCGCCCATTCACAGCTTCAAGTCTCACTGCCCCCACCTTGACCTCCGAGAGGATCCAACAGCTTCTTGCGACTAACTTTGGTGGTGGTGGTGTGGCTGTGGGTGGTCCGAGGTACTCCCAACCCCCACCCTTTTGCTCCTGATGTTTAGAATAACGGGGGCGGAAAGGGATCCTAGAACTCATCTTGCCCAACCTTGTCCTTTGACAGAATAGAAGACCGCGGGCCACCTGAAGCTGGTGGCTCCTGGGAGCAGTTTGGAACGGGGGTCCGAGTTCTCTGGCGCAAGGCCCCTCGTCTGGAAGTCCAAGGGCCAACCCCGGCAGCCGTGTGGGCTTGGAGACGGAGGCCAGCCACATGGCCCCCTTCCTCTAACCCTCAGCCCCACTGCCCCTCGTTTCCAGCAGCAGTTATAGAATCCAGGAAATAAATGTGGATTGATGGCCTATAAAGGGCTTGCTTAGAGCTGTGACCTGCCGACTTACGTAACTCGCATTACTGGCCCCGGCTGAAGTTTCTATTGCAGCAGCCCCCGAAGCTGCCTCCGTGACATTTCCTTGAGCCTCATTCAGAGGTGGCCGCAGCAGAAATTCCTCTGTGAGTCCAAAGACCAACCATCGGTGGTGTGGATGCTTTCAACCCCCCGCCCCCCATCTCGAATCCCTTGGGCCAGCGTTCCTCTCACCCGTATGAACCCCTGAACCCCTGCTCACCTCCGCAGTGGGCCCACCCTGCCTTCCCTTCGGGTCCCTAGGCTATAGGCAGCCTCGGTGGGGAGGCTGAGAAAGGGGTGTCCCCTGCCCCTGGTGAGTGAAAGAACAACTCAGGGCTGTTGAGAATCCAGAGGCGGCCTAGGAGAAAGAGCACTGAACTAGGAGCCCAGAGTCCTCTCGTCAGATCTATGCTGTTGGTTTAGCAGCCGCTCTGGGCCTCAGCATGCTTGTTAGCAATGTGAGGCGGTTCCTCTTCTCTGTACAAGGTGACCCCCCCGCACCCCCAATGGCACCCTCCTTGGTCTGGCTGGCCTGCCGGGCCGGGGTGGACAGCTGGGAGAGGACGAGGGAGAGGGATGAGGGGCTGGAAGAGTCTTTCTCTGGGCGCTGACACATGCAAGGCTCGTACCAACGCGATGCCACCTTGTGTTCAGAAGGGAGCAGAGCCCAGCCTCTCTTTGAAGGCACTTTCCAAACAAGTTCATTTCCCATGCCCCCACCCCTTTTCTGTTCTGGGAGGGGGGAGTACTGGGAAGCCAAGGATCCTGTCACCGCCTACTTCTCTTTTCTCCCCAGGGGATGCCAAAGGGGCCCCATGGAGAATCTCCCGGAAGGCTCGCTGGCTCCTAAAGTAGACTCTTCCCAGGTTCAAGGAAGAAAAGACTCAAGGGAAGCACGGGACGCAGAGAACTCCACAATGTCTGTCTTCTTTGTTTTTAATCTTTAAATGTTTGTTTATAGTTGAAAGAGGGAGACGCACACACAGTGCACGAGCGGGGCAGGGGCAGAGAGACCAAGGCAGAATCCGAAGCAGGCTCCGGGCTCCGAGCTGTCAGCACAGAGCCCGGCGTGGGGCTCAAACTCACGGGCCGCGAGATCATGACAGACGCCCAACCGACTGGGCCACCCAGGTGCCCCTGTCCGTCTTCTTAAATAAGACATATTCCTCCTATTCACAGAAGTAATGCCTTGATGCCTCAGAGACAAACCCCAAACCAAGCGGCTGGTTGGTACCAAGCGGTATAGGCTAGAGGGATTCCCTCCACTCGAGATCTGGAGGGGCGCGAGCCTGCTCGGCCATACAACTGAAACTGCATGTGGCACAGAGACTTGACCTTAGAGAATGTCACCGTGGAAGAAGCCTTAGCGCTCATCCAAGCCAAGTCCTGGCTATTAAAGATAAGGAAGCCCGAGGGCCCACGGGAGGAGGTGACTTTTAATGGATCAAAGGGCAGAGAGGGGCTAGAACGAACCATTTTGTACTGTGACTTGGTTTTTGAGATGCTGACTTTGGACTCACATCACATCACTCTGGAGGGGTCTTTGGAAGAAAGGGCTGTCCCAGGGGCCCCCAGAAATATGGCCTCCATGTGCAGCAGGACGGTCTGGTAAACCCACAGTGGGGCAAAGCCCAAGGCTGGGTCTCTAGATCAGCCCGGGCTGCCCGGGGGTCATCTGCCCCTTTTCTGCTCTCCGCCAGCCAGGGTCCTCGAGGAAGGGCAAATGCTTGAGGTGCCACTAAGAAGTGGAGTCTTCCCGTTAAAAACAAGCCAAAACTTCTGGGGCACCTGGGTCAGTTGAGCTTCCATCTCTTGATTTTGACTCAGGTCATGATCCCAGAATTATGGGATTGCGTCTCATGTCAGGCTCTGCGCTGCCAGCACGGAGCCGGCTGGGGATTTTCTCTCTCCTTCTCTCTCAGCCCATCTCTCCCTCTCTTCTGCTTGTGTGCTCTCTAAAATATATTTTTTTTAATTTTTATTTATTTCTAGGAGAGAGAGAGAGAGAGACAGCGTGAGCAGGGGAGGGTCAGAGAGAGAGGGAGATACAGACTCTGAAATAGGCTCCAGGCTCTGAGCTGGCAGTCAGCACAGAGCCCGACGCGGGGCTCGAACCCACGAACCGCGAGATCATGACCTAAGCGAAAGTCGGATGCTTAACCGACTAAGCCACCCAGGCGCCCCTAAAATATATTTTTTTGTTTTTATTTATTTTTTAAAAAATGTTTTTACTTATTTCTGAGAGAGAGAGGCAGCGTGAGCAGGGGAGGGTCAGAGAGGGAGACACAGAATCTGAAGCAGGCTCCGGGCTCCGAGCTGGCTGTCAGCACAGAGCTGAGGGGTGCCTGGGTGGCTTAGTCAGTTAAGCATCCGACTTCGGCTCAGGTCATGATCTCACAGTTCGTGGGTTCGAGCCCCGCGTCGGGCTCTGTGCTGACAGCCAGCTCGGAACCTGGAGCCTGCTTCAGGTTCTGTGTCTCCCTCTCTGACCCTCCCCTGCTCACGCTCTCTCTCTCTTCTCAGAAATAAATAAAACATTAAAAATATATAAATAAGTCAAACTTTTGCTCCTGGTTCCCTATTTACAGCTCCAGGGAAACTCCCCAAGACAGAATGTAACCTGCCTACAAAATAAAAGACCCGTTTCCACAGAAGCAGGACAATGGGCCGCAAAAGGGAGCAGCTGAAAGGTCACTCCGGGACCTGTCACTTGCCCAGGGGGGCCGAAGGTAAGGGTTAAGTAAGCTTGATGAAAAAGGACACGAGGAAAAGAAGCTGAGGCCTCAGTGGGTGAAGGATACAGATGTTGGTCTGTTAGTAGTACCTCACATTATCTCATCTAATCGCCAGCGATGCTGTGAAGGAGGTACATTGTTGCAATACTTGGATGAGGAAATACAAGTTTTTTTTTTAATTTTTTTTATTTTTATTTATTTCTAGGAGAGAGAGAGAGAGACAGCGTGAGCAGGGGAGGGTCAGAGAGAGAGGGAGTCACAGACTGAAACAGGCTCCAGGCTCTGAGCTGGCAGTCAGCACAGAGCCCGACGCGGGGCTCGAACCCACGAACCGTGAGATCATGACCTAAGCGAAAGTCGGACGCTTAACCGACTAAGCCACCCAGGCGCCCCGAGGAAATACAAGTTTTGAAGGCTGCCCCAGCCTCTTCCCGGGCCTGCGCTGGAGTCTCCTGCAAAACTCTGAACAGATGGAGGTTTGGGCTCTTGCCTGGGTAGAGGGCTGCGAAGCTTTTAGTGATTAGTAACGCTCATCAGGTAGACAGCCTGTAGCCCCCCGTGCCACCATTTCACACCCTGTTGTGCATCTGATGTTAATATTTAATTCGATATGTCTGCTCCCGGCCCGTTTATATGCAGAGACTGGGAATTTAATTCTTACCGTAAAGCATTATGAGCAGCAGACACTGGGAATAAATAGGTTTTGGTGGCATCCGAAAATGTCAACCTTACCACTGTTTTCATGCTTCAATCTGTCCCTCGGGGTGCCTGCACAGGCAGGCATGAAACGAAATGAATTCTTCGATGTGAAAGAGGATATGGGTCTCCTCTGGTGTTTTCATGGAACACTCCTTATTCTTCAATGGGGGAGGGCAGAGCGGCAGAGAAAGGTATTCACCAAAAGGTCCAATGTAGGCCCAAGTTACCTGTGCTTCCTGACCCACTTCCTTTTAGGACAACGTCCAGAACACTACTAGACCGGAAATAAGAACATTCTGCATTGGGGCACTTGGGTGGCTCAGTCAGTTGGAGATCTGACTTCGGCTCAGGTCATGATCTTGCGACTTACGGATTTAAGCCCCGTGTCGGGTTCTGGGCTGACAGCTGAGTCTGGAGCCTGCTTTGAATTCTCTCACTCGTTCTTGTTCTCACTCTCTGCCCCTCACCCACTTGCACTCTGTGTCTCAAAAATAAACAAACATTTAAAAAAAATTTAAAAAGAATATTCTGCGTTATTAGTAAGTGTCGAAGATGAATTTCTCTTGTTTTTATCACATAAGAAAAGGGCCAAGGCAGACGTCACACCACCAGTATCATCTGTCCCACAGCTGCGTCTAATGCTCGGCCACAACACTGGGTCACCCTCCATCTCCAGTCTACTTCCGCTCGGATCCAGAGCCCCCCTGAGGGTGTGTGACTCATCCTCACATCCCTGGCGCCCAGGAACCCCAAGGTCGGCTGCTGAGCACCCAGGAGGGGCAGGAGGTGGGTGGGCCGCGATCATGTGCGTTACCTCACTTTGCCATCACCGGAACCCTTTGGGGGTGGCTCCTCTCTCTTTAAAGAAACAGAATAGGCACGTGACTCGTGAAAGGTCACAGAATTGGGCAGCAGTAGACCCAGAATGCAAACCCAGGTCTCCTGGCTGGAGATCCAGTTCTTCTCTCCACACACCTGCAGGGTGGAGTCGTCTGGTTAGAGGCCCAGTGAGGCTCTTCAGCCTTTACTTCTGTCAGCTGGACCTGTTTACCAACGGGCAAAGGGCCCCTCCTAGGGCCAGCCGGGCGTCTGATCACCTGAGGACGACGAGTCTATGAGTAAAGACTTCCAGAACACTACTGGATGTTATGCAAATACAGGCTCGTCATGGCAACATCTGACGGGTCACAGCTTCTAGTCTGTGAAAAGATAGGCTGACCGAGCGAGTGGGAGATGAAACAGCCCCTTTACCCTTTTACAGTAGCAGTAAGTTCAAAGGCCCTAAGTTTCCATTACCCATGCATCAAAAAGTAAAGAGTACTGGGCAGGTCACCATGTGCTGGTTAGAACCGGCTAAGAACGAATGAAGCTTTCTGCTCCTGGAAAACAGGTTTGTGAGTCCAGCTGGGCTTGTGAGCTCCTTTCAAGCAGCCGATCCCAATGGAGGGAGCAGAATCCCCCGGGCCCTGTTTCTCCGAATGCTCCAGTCGAACAGGACACTGCTGAGGGGAGAGGAAGAAGGCGAGCCTGGCCGGGTACAGAACTGCAGCTCCTACGGAAGTTGCTGGTGCCCTAGGCGGGGGGCTCGGTGCCCTGCCTCTCTCCTTTGGGCCTCCACTCAGATCGAATCATAATGACTTTTGGTCTGTGGCGGGAGCCAGTGTTCTGCTGGGACAGAAAATCGAGTTGCTGAACTCTGGCTCCTTTTGTACAGTGTCGTTCTGATAAATTGGACATTTTAAGTAATTAAGATATCTGGGCCTCCCGGGGGCCTGGGCCAAACCCTGGGCGTGCAGGCGGGCGGGTGTGGCTGGCGCCAGGGCTTTGTGGAGCACCGGGCAGGGTGCCCTCCTCTGCCACGTGAGAGGCTGAAGGTCCGAGGATGCTAGGGCTCCGCCGAAGCCCCCACCGCACTTGCCTGCGACGCCTCAAAGGTGCCTGGGTCCAGGCCCATGGGAGTCCACTTCAGTAGGGCCGGGCTGCTGCGCTCAATAAGATGACTTGCCCAGGATCACTGTAGGGGGAAGAGCTTGGACAGGTCTGGAGCCTTCTTTCCTACTATATACCACCACGTCTCTCAAGAAAGTATGTTTAAAACTGAACGGTATCGGGGCGCCTGGGTGGCACAATCTGTTAAGCATCTGACTCTTGACCTTGGCTCAGGTCATGACCTCATGGTTTGTGAGTTCGGGCCCCGCACAGGCTCTGCGGTGCTGGTATGGAGCCTGCTTGAGATTCCGTCTCTCCTCTCTGCCCCTCCCCAGCTTGTGCTCTCTCTCTCTCTCAAAATAAATAAATCATCTTTCCTAACAAATTGGCCACTGCGGAAAAGTAAGTGCATGCGCTTTGTGGTCACCAGGGCTCTCCTGCCTACACAGAATGGGAGAGGCCTGGGGCGTAAGCAGTCTCTCCCCACAGGGTGGGCCTGCCGGCCACAGTTCCCGCGCCGAGGACAGTGCTCTGGTCCTGTTCCCGGATCAAGACTACAATGAGCGTGTCCTGTCCTGTGCTGCTGCCCTGGCTTCTCACCTGAAGAGCGGCTGGCTCCGTAAAATGACTGAATGGGGCTGAAAAGAATTAATCGGTTTCCAAAAACGACGACTCGGCAGGCCCCAGAGGGCCGAGGGGCAGTTAGGTAAGGGCCTGTCGAGCAGGAATGAGCCAGGCTATTAATTGAACTCGAGGGCGTCCAACTTTGGAAGGACGGCCGTGCCTTCATCGAGTCAGCTGTCCTGTTAACATGCTGATCAGGGCTCCTTTTACTGTCGTGTCCGAACCCCATGTTTTTTGTAAACAAAACACACTGGATTGGACTAAATACCACTGCACTGCAGACGGGTTCACATCGTGCTGGCACATGATTAGTTTCATAATCACCCTTCCTTCCAGAGTCTCTCCCAAGCAAATGGGTCACAGGTGAGCACGCCGTAGTATTAACATCTCCATCACGGCCCGCCTCTCATTACCGAGTCGACCTGGTGAATGGTATGCCTTGCATCATGCGTGGGTTGCTGCTCAGCACGCCCACATTTCTAGAAAGCCCTATTGTCTATTACTGAGATCTCATTCGAACATGTGAGCCAAGCAGACATGATCTTCCTGTACTCCCCTCTGCTCACCTTTAGCCAGGGTCAAAGGGTGACAGTCCTCACCCTCAGGAACGCCCTGTTTGATGGGGGAAGATTATTAGACTGTTGAATCAAAACCAAGTCCAGACCCCTAGGAAAGGCAAAAACAAAACAAAATACACTGGACCTCATACGTGTTTCATATACATATTTATATATATTTCATGTACAAAGTTACATTCCGAACCCCAGGGATTCCATAATAGAAATAAATACCGAAATAACTACATTGCTAACTGAGCTTTTTGCTCATAGAAACGAAGCCTCAGCCTCTAAGAGACAACAAGTGGGACACTCTAGAACCCATTTTTCAGATTATAGAGGCCAGTAAAAGTCTGGATAAAATGTCTAGGACAAAAAAACAAATTCAGAACATAAAATGGTTAAAATATATTCAAATATATTGAGAAATGTACGACAAAATTAATAATAAAAACTTAATTTTTTTTTAAGAGAAAGAAGAAGACATTTAGTGTTACAAAATAGCATCACCCTGTTGGAAAAGCACTGATGATTTCCACATTTAATTCTCTCTTCTCTACTCTTCCCATGTTACAAACGGGGGCCAAACGAGTCCCTTTCTCAACATGATCAATGAAGAAGAGCCCTAAATCTGGTGGAGTCCTTTGGTAACGGTCATAATACTCACAAGGAAATAAATATTCAGTTCCACGGCATTTGCAAGAAAGACGCACATTCTTTAGGACGGTTAATATTATGAGACAACTGTTTTGCTTTGTTTTGTTACTAAGGCAGCCTATGTTAAGGGGTCTATTCTCAAATGCAGTAAGACCTTTACAAGAAATGGACACGACAGCAGCTGAGAGAATGCATTTTCATCTTTTCTATGCAAACACACTTAATTTGGAAAGTCGTGTGCTGCATAGTTTGTGCTCAAAATGGTTTACGCTCTCAACAAGCTGCATCCATTAAGATATTCTTTCCTGTTTAAAACATGTAGATCCACACAGGTTGGAAAAAAAAAACTCTCAAAATGTGTGGTTCTTCAAAAAAATATTCTCCCTTTGCCTCCTCGGGATTTTAACCTGCATTTCATAGTAAGCATTAGGTTGGCGTTTAGGACACAGACATTCTGGTAGCTTAGCAATGGTCGAGCATCGGCAACTTCACAGAGTTCGACCTCATCCATAAGCCAAGCGTAACAAAATGAGAACCTTCTCGGGTATCCCTTGTTTTTTCCAGCAGGGGCAATACGTGTATTTTGTACACGGAGAGACCAACCCGAGGTATTCAAGCCTCTTCTCTACCCTCGAGTTGGAAGCGACAGGCAGTTTGCAGCAACCACTTTGCTGCTTGCAAGAAGCTTACATTCTGGTTCTTACCAAAGTGAACGTTTACCACCTTGACCAAAGTGAACGTTACAAGAATATAAACCTATTACTGGGAAAGGGGGGGAAGTAAAGTGATCTGCAGAAGATACTTAAACGACATCACAAATACAAGGACAAGCCCTTGACACAAAATGTACGAGCATTTCTGTACTCTCTCTAGTCCCTGATGTTAATTAACAGGGCCACTGATAATCTGATAGCTGTAGATAAAATAGCCACATCCCTATATTCCTTAAGTTAAAGCCAGTAAGAGCAATTAGAACCACTGTTACATGTTCGCATGTTTCCTCTTTTAACTCCTGATTTCCTAAACGACATTTGGTCATACCAACATGTACAAACTGAACGGCCAAGTGGGGTCTGACTCTGGGATGTTTATTTCTTGGGATTGAAAATCCCAAAGATTTTAGTGTCTCCTTTTTGTGAATTTATAAAGCAATTCCCCTCCCTCCCCCAAATGTTTTAACAATGTGGGGTTTTTTTTTCTTTTAGGTAGTGCCAAAAATGGCTCAAATTTAAAATAAAAGTGTAGCTTCTAAGCTATGAAAAAGGGACCTAAGTATCTCAAGCAAAAACTCAGCCTTTCACTACAGCTTTTGCCAAAGGGGGTTCCTTTCTCCTGGCCACCTGAGGTGGCCACTGCTTAATCGTGTACACGATGTGCTTCCAGACACGACGTGGCCTGGTGGATCCAAAGGCTTCTGCCGGCTCACTAAATCCCATGTATTTATCAACTAGTTTAATCAGAGGCTTTAGGACAGTGGCACACTTTTTACGAATATCTCTGCAGCAGCTCGGGAAACACAAAGCTCTGTGCTTCAGAAAGCTTCCACGGTCTGAGACCTGTGCTTGCTTACTTTTCCGTCGAGCACTCCTTCTGGTGATCGGGGCCCGTTATTCAACAGGTTTCTGTTTTAAAAATAACACTTCAATTTCTATTTAGCTTTGCTTAAAGAAATGGTAAATCACGCATTTTCAAGAAGCTCGAGAGGGGGAAGAAGGATTTTAAAAACGTAGGAAACAAGAAAATCTGCTAAACCCGGACTCAATTTTTGAAATGGGCGTTATGAGTAAAATGATGAACATGTCAACTTCTACTTGATGGTATCTTGGCTTTGTCTTCTTCCCCTTCACTGCTTTCCTCTTTGACCGTGGCATTTTAATCTCAAAAGGGCACAAATATGTAAAGTTGTCATTTACATACAAAACACCAAGGGCTGGCTGTTCTGCAGTTTTATGCAGAACCAGAGACAATACTGTTTCTAATCAAATCCCTGCTGCAGTTCACAGGCCACTTCCCCGCGGATGCTGCTTCACGCTTGGGGACCAGGAAGGGCCGTCCCAGAACTGGTGAACAGGTGAGCTTTTCACAGAGACACCTCCACCACCCACCACCATCCACGGGTTCAGGAACCCCAAACCCAGTTTCCTCCAGAATAAGTTCTCCCACGGCCGAAGTGATCTTCTGAGCCATATCAGCCGGAACCCTTTCCGACATGTCAGTATGGAAATGAGGGCGGCTAGTCTCGGAATCACTACAAAATCCAGAGAGCAGGCCTCATAAATTGTAGTGCTCTAATAGGTCAGAAACAGGATATTTTTATTTAAATAGTGTAGTCTTAATTTCTTCAATAGAAAACCCCCCCAAATCTGATGAAAACAAGGTTTTATATACCATATATAAACAAGATTTGTCAGATTTGAAAGTGAAAGTACTTTACAGTTGGCTTGCAGCCCCTTGGGACATTGAGAGAACTCCTGATAATCCACCTGATACTTGTTTGTGTCAATTTTATAATACACCGGGGAAGACTGTTATTGTACTGAACGGTACAGTTCCACATATCAAGTGTTCCCATTAACTCCATTATTAGCGACAGCTCAAAAGTGACCCCATCAAATGTAGTGAGTGACGTTAGCTGTGGCAGAGTGAGCCACATCTGGATTGCTTCCTAGAATTCACCAGTTTGCAGAGAGTAAACATTCTTTGATTTGTTCATAACGTACTGAAATCGCCCGGAACACTGGTGCAGTGAAACAGCTAGTTCCTGTATCGTTACGGGTAGGACAGGTCTTGTAAGACAAAGTTAACAGGAAAAAAAAAATGCTCACACATCATGTGGTGAAACGGATTTCACAAGGAGAGCATTAAATTAAGGGGAAAAGGGAAAATAAACCATGCAGAAGAGACGGCCTCCCCGTCCCCGCCGGCCGGCCTCCGGTGGGCTCACTCACTGCCACACAGCACTTGCCACACGATCAGGTGACTCCTTTCTGCTTTGGCGACAGAAGGTTCAAGTGGAAGATCTTCTCCAAGCAGTTCTGATTCTCCGCCCTCATCACCTGGGGGGCGACAGGGAGACTCCGGTCAGGTGGGCCCGCGACCGCTCTGTGAGCAGTGTGCACCAGCCCCGGGCGACCCCCCTTTCAGAGCACACGGGCCCAGAGCTGCCAGGAGTCAGAAAGAGAGTTCACTTCTCAGACCGCAAGGACAGAGGCGAGCGCACTGTACTGCGCTGGGCACATGCCCCGGCGGGCCTGCCTGTGCGCTGAGATGGCAGAAACGACAAGTCAAAGCCGGCCGACCCTGTGTTGATCCAAAGGGATGGGGTCTACTCTCATTTATTCCAAACTGAGAAGTGAGACTAGACGGGACTATAAACGGGAAAGCGTGGACACAGAGCCCGCGCACCCACGCACTAGCTACATCCAAGCAACTCCTGCCTGTCGTCGGTGCTGGCGAAGCTCTCCGACCAGAGCCAGCCCGCGTGAGGGCACGCAAACAGAAGGTGCTTCTCACACTCCCGGCAGCGTGGGATGGCAGATTCGTCACTCCATATACCGAGGTACTGAGTTTCTGTTTGTTTTTCTGTTTTTAAGATTTTATTTTTAAGCAAGCTCTACACCCAACACGGGGCTCAAGCTCACAGCCCTGAGATCAAGAGTCGCATGCTCCACTGACTGAGCCAGCCGGGAGTCCCGACACTGAGGTTTTTCTTCCCATGATTTTCAAGTTTAGGACAGGTTGTGAATGAACAGCGTGCAGTGGTAATGAAGAAATGAGGCTTAAGTCACAGACAGGCTATAGGTTCTCCTGGAAATAGCTAAGTGAACTCGAGAAATGAGGTCCTGATCAAAGACACTGCTCTCCAAGGCCCCGTGCAAGCAAACCATACACCTCTCCCCAAAGGTGCATCACTGGGGCACTGGTGCATCCAATGGCTTACCCATTCGGAAGTCGATGTAGCCCTCGCCTCCACTGATGACGAGCATAGACTTCAAGGGCGTCTGGCTGCCAGGCTCCTGTGCAGATGGCCCTGCTTTGTCACCTGTTAGATCTGTGCCACTACTGCCACTTTGTGGGCTGACGACTTGACCTATTTGTGCAAGAACAGAAGTGATTATTACTTATCACACACTGGGGTGGGGGAAGACTCATTTCCTCTGAATATTGTCAGAAAATTGAATAAAAAGGTAAAAATATTTTGATACAACCAAAGTATTGGGGATGCCAGAATCCTCAGTAGGATCAGAAAACACCTATAAAAGTCTTAAGAACCCAAATGTGAAAATCAAATGTAGAGCCATTTTGTGCCAAAGCAGGAGTGGATCCAAATCCATTATGAGACCTGTGTATGGCCAAGCGGGTCTTAGCTGCCTGCCTCAACCTATTACAATCTAAATCTTTTGATCTGAGGGGCTGAGGAAAAGATACGTGTGCATTTGTGTAAGAGACTGGAAAAGGTCTTCAACTTAGGCACTATATATTCATATTAATATTTAAATGTAGTTCAAATCCATGGTTTTCCTCTCATATTTAAGAAAAGTACATCTTATTTGTAATTTAGATAATGCAAATAAAATTACTGGTACACGTCATTTATTCTATAGTTTAAGTTATAAAGTAGAATCTTTGAGCATGAAATGGGAGAGAAAGCTTTACTATGCCATAGTTAAATGAACTAGATTTTTATGTATAAACAGTAACAAATCTCAAAAAAATGCGGAGTGAGTTGAAGCATATATATGTGACATAACATTTAAGTTCAAAGCCACAAGAAAGACTACACATTGTTTACGGATATGTTCAAATGTAAAAATATAAAAACCCGGAGTAGGATACTCATCCTCTTCAGGACAGTAGTAATAGATGGAGAGAAAAAGGGGAAGGGAATGGGATTAGAGGAATATAAAAAAGAAGACTCAAAGGGGATTCTAGGACCCTTTTTTCACAAAAGCAAAAAAATACTACCAGCAATTCCATTTCTAGGAATTTATCCTAAGGAAATAACTACACAAATATACAAGGTGTATGTTTCAGGGAGCTCATTACCATGTTGCTAAGAAAACTGAGTAATTGATGGGGGTACCATGTGCCAGCCCTACGTTATATACATTTAATCATTTGATCTTTGGAACACCCTCAGGAAAATGAGTATGATGGTTAATTTTCTGTGTCAACCTGACTAGGCTGTGGTGCGCAGATACGTGGCTAAACTCCACTCTAGATAGTGCCATTGGAGGTATTTTTTAGATATAATTAACACTTAAGTCAGTGGACTTTGGGTAAAGCAGATTCATCTCCACAATGTGGGTGGGCCTCATCCGATCAGCTGAAGGCCATCAGAGAAAAGGGTAGATCCCCCAAGGAAGAAGGAATTCTGCCTCTAGACTGCCTTTGGACTCCAGCTGCAACACCCACCCTTTCCTGGGTCTCCAGCCGGCTGGCCTGCCCTGCAGACTTCACACCTGCCAGCCCCCGTAGTCGCATGAGCTGACTCCCTAAATTACATCCATCTCTCTCTTCCACACACTACTGGTTCTGTTTTTCTGAAGACCCCTAATACATGGACGCTATCATGTCCAGTGCCACGTGGTTAGTGTGGCAGCATCAGATGTGAACTCTGTAGAACTCCTAAACTTGCATCTTACGGGGGAAATAATTCCAGGCACGGGTCCTGCTTTGTGTGGTCAGTCACATCAGTTCACTATCCTCAGGGGACAGAACATTTCTCATCGGACATCGCCACTATCACCTCTCATGTGGATGGCACTTCTAGAGCACTTCCAGTAATTTTCACCGCAAAGGAGGTGGGCAGAGCAGAGATCAGTCACGTTCACTTAGGAAATGAGGACGAGAGGGGCACCCGGGTGGCTCAGTTGGTTGAACATCCGACTTCAACTCAGGTCATGATCTTGTTTGTGAGTTTGAGCCCCATGCTGGGCTCTGTGCTGACAGCTGGGAGCCTGGAGCCTGCTTTGGATTCTGTGTCTCCCTCTCTCTCAAGATGCCCCTCCCCTGCTTATGCTCTTCCTCTCTCTCAAAAATAAACACTTTAAAAAATTTAAAAAAAAAAGGGGGGGGGGAGGGGGGAATGAGGACCGATCGCAGAGGTTGAGTGACCCGCCAAGGTAACTATGTGAGTGGCAAGGGAGGGACCCCCAGTCTGCTGCTCTTTGCCACGACACTGCTGCAGGTACTTGAGTATGTTCTCTATCCTGTCCTGTATACAATTCTGATGGCTGGGGCTTCCTTCCTGCCATCTCCTTTATTAGGCCACGACCATTTCTGGTACCTGCGGTGACAAAATAGTAGCCTGGGTGGCTCAGTTGGTTAAGTGTCCGACTTCGGCTCAGGTCATGATCTCATGGTTTGTGGGTTCGAGACCTGCGTCGGGCTCTGTGCTAACAGCCAGTTCAAAGCCTGGAGCCTGTTTCAGATTCTGTATCTCCCCCTCTCTCTGACCCTCCCCTGCTCACATTGTGTGTGTCTCTCTCTCAGAAATAAATAAAAATTTAAAAAAAAAAAAAAAAAAGGCAAGCAAAAGTCTCTTAATAAAAACCAACAAATTTGTTTTGGGGGAAAGAGGAGAGATTCCAAAACAATTTCATTCAAATATCCCTATAGTGCTTTATCCATACCTCCGATTATAGAACTTTTCATATATTCTATGGGAATTATCTGTAATTCCAGTACTTAGCACTAGACTAGTTAGTGGACCACGGGACAGAAAAGAGACAATTATATGCAACTTCTCGACAGAATAATCTAGCTCACCTGGGACTGCCACAAAGAATTTTACCGCATCCCGGTGCCCGTGGAAGCAAAGCTGGGCGTGTGCCATTGAACAGTAGGGTATAAACGTCCCTGGAGTCACTTTATCGCTGTTTTCATCGCCATACACGCGGATTACGCTTCCAGGACGATTGCCTGGTGCTCCTGAGGTTTTATTTGCTGCAAAAGAAAAACCAAATACCAAATATTTCCCCCTAGGAAATGGTGATGATGCAGGAGGTTACTGGTTAATCCTTATGATATTATCTAAAAGCTACAGCCAGTCGAGGTAAAAACAAGGGCAGCAATGCCAACTCAAGACAAAGCTGGGAAAAAAAAGATAATACAGCATGCTAGTTATTTTTAGGTACCTCAGTAAATGGAGTAGGGGATTTTGCCAGTCTAGCAATAACTAAGCTTACTTTGAAACACACCTATTGATTTAAAAGGGGGAGGGGGCAACAATAAAAAACACCCAGATTTGAATCTTAGGGATGTCTGTTTTATGCTGTTGTTTTAACCCTCATTTTAGAAGACTAACTAGTTACACAGTTTAAAGCAAATGTGTATATTTTTAAATAACCATTTCACGGTCTAGCTTCTGATTTTTCTCCCCTGTGGTAAGAGCATCTCCCTCGAGGGGGGTGGTAAAAAGCTGTGTTTAAAGGGTGCAGCCACTATGACAGGGTGGCTTCGCTCTACACCAGACAGATGGTTTGCTGCATTATTTTAGAACAACCAGACTCACAAAACATCCCCATTCCATGGGCCAGTAAGTGAATGAAAAGAAACGTGGCTGGTAACAAGAGTAAACAATGGAGATTAATGACAGTTTGAAGAGATGTTTCGTGTTTTTACTGGAAGGAAAACAAAGTCTGAAGGAAAGTTCAGCTGCAACAAAAGATGATAAACACACTAAGCCGCTGAGCAGTAGGTTGGTGGCTATGGAACAAATATTAAAAAACAAAACCGACAGGACACCTGCTGCGATGCAGTGACTGCGAGTGGATGGCGTTTAAGAACATTCAAGAGGGCATCTAGAGCCGGAGGACAGCCTCCCAGTGGCCATCAGAAGCCAGGAAGAAGAGCTGGGTTCAGGATCTGCACTTACCCCTCAGCCCCAGTAAGCGTCCCTGGTGGAGGATTACGGCTACAGTGAGAGAGGAGGAAAGGGCCATGGAGAGGCGCACGGCACGGGACAACGCCGCCGTGAGCCTCCACTCTCGCCGCCTCGCTTCCAGCTGCTAGCCTGGCCCTCCGAGCTCCTGACTACGCTACCGAAGTCAGTCCAACTTGGTATAATACCAAGTAACATGAAAAGGTCTTACCAAAGCCTCTGTAGACTAGCTCTGCTCAAAAAGGACAATTTGGTTCACTGTGATTTTGCTTTCCTTATTATAAAGCAATTTCAAAGAATAAGAACTGAACAGGGAGCGCTTCCTAAATGCTATTATTTCCCCTTTTTCTGTAAGAAATCCTGTTCCGTCTACGGCCATACCACCCTGAACGCGCCCGATCTCGTCTGATCTTGGAAGCTAAGCAGGGTCGGGCCTGGTTAGTACTTGGATGGAAGAAATCCTGTTCAAGGGGTGCCTGGATGGCTCAGTCAATTGAGCGTCCAACTTCGACAGCTCAGGTCATGATCTCAAGGTTCATGGGTTCAAACCCCACATCAGGCTCACTACTGTCAGCACAGAGCCTGCTTCAGATGCTCTGTCCCCCTTTCTTTCTGCCCCTCCCCTGCTCATGCTCTCTCTCTCTCAAAATAAAATACAAAAAAAAAAAAGAAATCCTGTTCAAATGGCTACGTTAAAATGGAATTCTCTTTTATAAAGAACTGAAATGAACTCATGTAAATTTAGAAGTAATTACAGAAAAGACAGCTGGGATTAAGAATTTGGTTCTGGGGCGCCTGGGTGGCTCAGTTGGTTGAGTGTCTAACTTCGGCTCGGGTCATGATATCACAGTTCGTGAGTTCGAGCCCCACGTCGGGCTCTGTGCTGACAGTTCAGAGACTGGAGCCTGCTTCGAATTCTGTGTCTCCCTCTCTCTGCCCCTCCCCTGCTCACACTCTGTCTCTCTCTGAAAAATAAATAAACATTAAAAATTTTTTTTAAAAAAAGGAATTTAGGTTTTTCAGGGGCACCTGGGTGGCTCAGTCAGTTAAGCGTCCGAATCTTGACTTCAGCTCAGGTCATGATCTTGCATTCGTGAGTTCAAGCCCCACATGCGACTCTGTGCCGATGGTGTGGAGCCTGTTTGGGACTCTGTCTCCCTCTCTCTCTGCCCCTCCCCCTCTTACTCTCTCCCTCTCTCAAAATAAATAAAAAGAAAAAAAGGAAAAAAACGAATAAGGTTCTTCAAAGGCTCCAGATACAGCACCTTCCACGCCTCTTCCCTGCCCCCTGAAGAAAGGTAGGGCAGTACTGAGGTGTTTGTTTATGGACTTATCTTACGGACTTAAGGCACTGGTTTTCAAAACATTCCCTGCCCATGAATTCTGAAACACAAAAACGCTCGCTGGATGGATAATCAATGTAATGGAACATAATATGAAAAACATATAATGTACATTTTGTTCACAAAAGTAACAGTAATGAAACATAACACACAATGTGCATTGTGTTCACGTCTGTTTTCACATACAGGAGAGAAGGCTTGTCTCCAGCATAACTGAGTGCTTGCTGACCTTAGAAACTTCCCACAACATTTTCTAAACCTCAAATAAAGCAAGCAGAATGTCCTAAAGTAACTGCTGGAGAGATGAAGGACCAGAATGATTCTAGGCCCTGTTTCCAGATATTGATGTACTAACACTGGAAGAAAGCCGGACTCGAACCTTTTTCTAAAGGAGGAAACAGGACTGGTACTCCCAAATTGAGGAAAGGGGCTTTTCTCAGTCGAACATGTTTAGTTATACCTGCTGGTCCTGAAGCGTGGGCACTGCTATTCGCTACAGTCTGTAAGTTTTGTACAAGTAACGAAAGGACAACAGTTGGGTGTTGGTCACCACCTTGATTTTCTGAGTTACCACAGGTTTGCCAATAGCAAAACCATTCCTTCTGCCTGAATTCTGGACACAACTACATCCTGCAACCCGTCTGAGTGCACTGTGGCAGTCAGCTACACATATACTTACTTTCTGTCAACGGGATGGAGATAATGACACCATTTCCTGTCCCCACCCACAAACGATTGCAAGACACCATAAGAGCTGTGATCCTCACAAAAGAGAAGCCCAGTTTTCCAGTACCTGTAGAGCAGGGGGAAAATTTTTATTGAGAAATTAGAGCAAATGAGGTTTCAGGTTCTAAGTCCCTCAGAACTGCTGGATTACCACAAGAGAGAGGAAATGTTGACCAGAGCTAGCTGGTTGTTTCCTGAAGGTGCACGTCAAAGCCAACTTCCAATGGGCTTTATCACCTATCTGATCATTCGTGATTAATGATAAAAGAAAATTCTGAAGGTGGCTGACATCACAGTACCATTCAGAAAGAAAAGTCTGTTGACCAGGAGGCAGGGCGCAAGATTTAATTAGGGAGCTGCAAAATCAATCCAAACCCAACCCAACCCAAAATAAAGCAAAAAACACGGGCACCTGGGCGCCTCAGTTGGTTAAGCGTCCAACTCTTGCCTTTGCCTCGGGTCAGGATCTAACAGTTTGTGAGTTTGGGCCCCACCTTAGGCTTTGTGCTGACTGTGCAGAGCCTGCCTGGGATTCTGCCCCCCTTTCTCTCTGCTCCTCCCCCTTTGCTCTCTACCTCTTTCTCAAAATAAATAAAGTTAAAAAAAAACAATAAAACAAAAAACAACAAAATCAGAGCTTGCTAAATTGGAAAATCAAATGTCCTTTGTTTTTATAAGCTGAAAGAGTTCTGCTTTGCCTTAGTAAAAACAATTGTAATCAAAATATATATTCTTTCCTTGTTTACATACTTCGATTCTGCAGCAGTTTAGAAATTTTAGGATACCACAGACACGCAACGTAAGGAGACTGGATGCACTTTTTATTTGAAGGAAATTTCTACATCTCATCGTATTTTCTGAGACTTGAAAGGATAACTCATAAACAGGTAATATTACATTTAAGACAAACAGCATTTAGTCACTCACAGGGTCTACTTACAGGAACTGAGAATAATATGATCACAGAGGGTGACAAGTCAGAAGGAGCCTTAAATGCCATTCAGTCTAAGCTAGAGATCTTTAACCTGTGGTCATAGTATGCCCTGAAACTGGCTTGTGTTTATGACATTCCCAACAGCCACAGAGCGCTAGATTAGGCTAAGGCAGGGAACAAGCCAGTGATAGTCCCTGCCCTTCGTGGGCTTATGGTCTTTGGGGAGAGAGACAATAAACAAGAATCAAACAGTACTGGTACAACCACAATAATGATAAGCCCATGAAGAAAAAGTAGGCGAGGACCTTAAATCAAATTAGAAGATTAGGAAAGGTCTGTTCTGGATGTGCCATGTACGCTATGACCTGAAAGCCAGGTAAACAGGGACCGAAAAGAACCTGTCGGGCACAGTTAGAAGAGCACATGTGGGGGACCTGAAGTGGACAAGACCCTGGTGAGCGCTATGACCTGAAAGCCAGGTAAACAGGGACCGAAAAGAACCTGTCGGGCACAGTTAGAAGAGCACATGTGGGGGACCTGAAGTGGACAAGACCCTGGTGAGCTCGAGAGGGGTCCAGGCCATGGGACCAGTTCTTCGTGGTGGGGTCACAAAAGGTCACCTCACCTAAAAGCAGGAATATTCTAGAAGTGGCTGGTATTACATAAGTATGTCATGGTGGTACCTGCACGCTGGTTACTGTGCAGAGAACAGACCAGGGTGGAAACACAGAGACTACTTAGGAGGTCCATGGATACCCCAGGGGGTAAGGACGATAGCCTGGCCTCCAGGGATATAATGGCAGAGATAAAGAAGTAACTGATTTAAGATATTTTTGGAGGCAGACTTGACAGCTCCCCGTGACGGGTTAGGTGTGGGGAATGGAGAGGAGTCAAAAATGATCCCAAGTTTCCGTCAAGAGCCACGGAGTACCCGGGGGGCGGCTGCCTGACTCAGCGACATCAGCTCACCAGTCCGGAGGCAACTTATTCGTGGGGCTACCCGGCCTCTGAGGCCATTTAAACATCAAACACTCTTCAGCTGATAAAGACAGAATTCTTTGGAAGCTTACCTAACATTTTGCTTACATAAGGCTCAATGTCCACATCCTGAAGGTGTTGATAAGTGTGTGCATGATAGAGACGGAGCGTGGAATCCAAGCGAATGGAGACCCACACTCCGTCCCCCACCCACGCAAGCTGCCGCACCTGGCTCTCCTTCCTGGGGTGCGCGTCAAACGATTTCTAGGAAAGATTGTTCAATCACGACGTTACTTTGATTACGTGGGAGTTCACAATTAAAACACTGCGCTCATTGACACAACAATCGGGCAGACTGAATATTAAGAGGAGCCTAAACAGTATTTACTAAATATGATTATGCTTACATACACAGTTCTTTTACTCCAGACTACAAAACGAACCGAAGAACAAACAACTAAAGGGCGCTAGATTTCAGCGCTGTGCAGGATATCAGCTTACGAAAGGAATACTGGCGTATCCGGACCCTGCAACAGTGTCCAACAAAGAGGCTGAATTTGATCTCAGGATTGTGTACTGTCACAGAGCAACGCATGAAGTAAGAGCCTATTTATAATCAAACAAAAAGGAACCAACAATGCTGTCTGTGTGTGTATATATCTGCATGGAGGAAACAGATCGGGGCAGTAGGAATCCCACCAAGCGACTAACTTTGGGACTTGTAGGGAACAGAGTGGGATTTGGAACAAAGGGAGGACTTTCACCTTAAATTTTCCTGCTGTTTTTTTTTTTTTTTATTAGAATGAATTTACCTATTGCGGCAAAACTTTTAGGAAAGCAATGCTAAGAGGCTTTTATTTTTTTACAGCAGATTCCCGCTGCAATCTTATTCCTCTGTCTAGGACACACATAGGGATCTGCCTGCATACACGTGGGGCGGCAGAGCCTCGAGAACCCTCGTCCCAAACAACCCCTACAAAATTAAACAGATCGAGAACCCTGTGTCCAAATAATACACATCTGTATCTATAGGTATTCAGACACACATTTAAACATTCATGTGTGAATCTTCCTTCCTTTAAAAAAACAAAACAAAACAAACCCCACTTCCCACCATAGTCATAAGTGGCAAGAGAGGTGAAGCACCACAGAAAGCTAAGCTGTCATCTGACAATCACTCAAGTGCCCTACAACACACGGATTCAGAAAGCAATTTCTAAAGAATCTAAAAATATTACAGTCTTAGAGTCCTCAGAAAATACCCATTCAGTAACTACAGGACGCACGGCTTCACTTACCTCTATTTTCATAGCCTTTGGCTGAACCACATAGATTTTGTTCCTATAGCCACACCAGACTTTGTCATGTACCACAGTCATGCACCGAATAGAATGGTGAGGCCGTCCAAGGTCCAACAGGTGATAGTTTGACAAATCCCACTGTCCATCTTTAAAAGAAGAAGTGGATTATTTATGCAGACCACCTTTTCCTCAATTCTAACATAAGAAACATTCTATTTGGGTGAATTAATAAATGCATTGCTGAAGCACTGCAAAATACCATGTAGTCCCTTTATCTTTTCTTCGCAGAGACTGACTCTCATTCTGTCTACTGCAAAGTTGGGAAAGAGATGTCACAGCTCATCTGGTCCAATGAGCCACCTGGTGCCCGGATCTCCACACTAACAGCAGCAGTGATGGGATAAATCAGCAGTAAGTTTTCCGTTTATAATGATAGTTTCACAATTAGAATGGATTTGGTATAACCCTTTGGATAACATCTCCCTCACTCATTTGCATTTTGATGTATCCTGGGTAGATGTTAAGGACAAAGTACTGCTAACACTTTAAGAATTAACGCACATAATCATTTTAGTGAGGACAGAAATACAAATGGGAATCAGCCACTGTAAGCTTGCTTTGTGGATCTTGCTTGAATGAGTTCAGTGAAAGAAAACATACAGCCTCACAAAGCAGCTCTTGCATTTTGCAAAAGCTGTAATTTTCTGAAAAAATATTCCCCATGCCTGACAAGCGCAAGTCTGGCTCCTTGTATATAACTACCCATTAGTCCATAGTTTTGCCCAATGGAAATAGAATAATCCAGTCCCACTTTTTTGTTACTGCTCTGTGTTTCCTCCTCTCAAAATTCATCATTTTTGGCATGTGCTCTGTACCCATCCCAGTTTACAGACCCTTCATCCTAACTCCGCTTTGCCTGTGTTCGTTTAACACGTTTATATACCGGAGTGGGGCAGGACCATCACCAGCCCTATCCTGCACACAGATTTCTACCAGGCTTAATATGTTCAGTAACTCAGGGGCTCCTGGGTGGCTCGGTCAGTTAAGCATCCAACTCTTGGTTTCAGCTCAGGTCCTGATCACACGGTTTTTGAGTTCAAGCCCCATATCAGACTCTGTGCTGGCATCTTGGAGCCTGCTTGGGATTCAATTTCTCTCTCTCTCTACCCCCCCACCCCTCCCCCACTCGTGCTCTCTATCTCAAAATGAATAAATGTAAAAAAAAAAAAAAAAAGGATGTTTAGTAACATACCAAATTGTGGTCAACCTTTAGATACTTCTCATTCTTCAAACATGTTGCCCCCATTTTTACTCTTCTGAACCCCAATGAAGAACTTTATATTTAAACTGATTAAATGTATTTTATCTGTTCTCTTAATATAATTTTGGATTCAGTGTGCCAAACCATTTATTACCACATTTTTTCTAAGCTTTCGTACTTGTTAGCTGGCTGGCTACGAAGTGAATAAAAACCTCTGTGCCTCCAGTTTCCTCAACTGTGAGGGTGACAGCAGGACCTTGTCACAAGCTGCTGTGAGAATGATGGTCACAGAAAGTCTACAAAGGGTCTGAACCAGGTAAAACGGAGTGCCTCAACTCTCCGATGACATGGAGTCTTAACCAGCAATCTCTTTGTCAGTTACAAAGACACCTAAACATCATCTACCCCACATTTTTCCCAAGCTCAAAAAGGTAGGAGGAGACTTTGGGAAAAGCCCTGATAAAATCCAAACTCAGTGTATCTATATTTATAGAATATTCTCCTGCTCTAGCAATCTAATTTCTACCTAGAAGACGAATGATCATGTTGGCTGATACATGTACCAAGGGGTTAGGAAGTATCGTGCACTGAATTCCCTAGTTTCCTTAATTCAAGGCAGGTTTCTGGTCCTCCACCAGCCCTGTCTGCTGATGACAGAAACACCGGTTGTAAAAAGAGGAAGGATATAAATAACATGACATGAAAATGATTAAACTATATCCGATTAAAAACTTAAAAACTTTCCAAATCTAAGTGGATATAAATTATTTTTTAAAATATTGAAAAAGAGAAAGGATTCCCTCTCACTAAATTCCTAAGTATATGAACAAGAACAGCTGCCTCCACACACATTAGGCATGAGTACTTTGCAATGATAAACTACGTGCACGCACGGATCTACAAAAGTCACCACTGTTAGCGTTCAGTTTAAACCCTTACTCTTTCTCCTATTAAGTATCATTTCTTTAAAACATAAGCCAGTCTGCTAGAAAATGCTTCTGCAAAGCAACAGATTAGCGCACACTCTGTATTCATAGCAACTCACCAGCTCCTCTGTGAAAGATCGCGAGGGTGCCGTCAGCCAGGGCCACTAATACAATCCCTTTCACATGTCTGCGAACAGGAAACGGGGTTTCAGAGCTCTCCATCCATGTGGGAATGAATGTGGGGCCACATGCTACTGAACTAGTCGCTCGAGGCTCTCAGAGGGCCAGCCCATGGTATAGACAAAGAGCTTACACCAGAACCCAAAGAATATACTTTTTATTTTTAAGTAATCTATATGCCCAATGTGGGGCTCAAATTCACAAACCCAAGATCAAGAGTCACATGCTCTATCGCCAACCGGGCGCCCCAAGAATACATACTCTTCATCGAGAAAGTCTTGCTGTGAAAATGTCAGCAGAACTAAATAAACAGCCTGTGTGGTGACTCAGCAGTTTTACTTTTTGACCCAAGCTTCTCTCATTGCAAAAGGTCCACAGACCAGAGCAGACACCTTGAGTGGACTTTGGAGTTTCTGACAGTCAACATGCATAAACAGACTAGTGAACCAATGCCCCAATCAACATACTCACAAAGTACGAGGTATAAAATGTATCCTAAAACAAACATAAATAGGTCCCGGAGTACTAAAGAACTCACCTCTGGTGAGGAATCAACCTGGCAAGTTTCACCTAAAGCTCTACTTAAGAACTACTTTACTTTCTAGTAAGAGTTGGAATCTCACTCAGCTTCCATAAAGAGGGCTAAAATAAAAAAACCAAAACTGGATATTGACTTAATCATGAAGCGCATGTTAGCTTTAACAGTCTTAAAAGATAGTTTATAATAAAATATGTATTTTTAAAAGGAAGAATTTCTAAAATAAAACTTACACAATACTGAGAATTGAATCTTTAAGTTTAATGGAATGGAGGCATCCTCTCCACTGGGCTACCGAGGAGTGCACATACAGACTGCAAGAACAAAATCAAGACAGGTAAGGCATAGAGAACGTCAAGTCGCTGCTTACATCTGACAATGGCCACAAAGTCCCTTCAGGAGGAAAGAAGAGTTAACACAAAAATCTTAGGAAATAACAACAATGAGAGTCTAGCGCAGAGAAATCAGCTGCTTGAGCAAAGAGAAACACAGAAGAATGAAAAGCCAGAACTAGAGTAACACACGGTCGGTTAATTTCAGATTACAACATACCTCAGGGTCCTTGGCTAAACTCCTTTTTAAAAAATTACCTTGCTTTTTGACCACATGGAACTATAACTTTCCGATAACAGACTGGTTTATTACGTCAGAGAGTGGCAAGCTACGCCCTGCAGGCCAAATCTAGCCCTTCATCTGCCTTAGTAGAGTGTGCAAGATAAAAATGGTCTTTACATTTTAAACAGTTGGGAAAAAATCAAGAGTATTTTATGGCATCTGAGGCATATGTGAAATTCAACCTTCAGTGTCCATAAGGTGTTACGGGGACACAGCTATGATCCTCCACTTACGTGCGGCCAGGGCGATGCCCTCTTCTGTGCCACCACCACACAGAGAAGTTGCTACAGAGATTACATGGCCACAAGGCCTAACGTATTTCTTATCTGATCCTTCATAGAAAAAGTGTGCTGCGCCCCCACTGTGTAGTATTAGACCCCTATGGAAAAGATGCACTGGCGACTTTGCTTACCTGTGGGAAAGCACAATCTTCTGAAACTCCCCACACCGCTAGCATGTGAACAAGCTACGTGATGTCAGTTACCTCCTAAGCTTTGAGATAGGGATCGGTCCTGGTTTTCCTAGTAACTCTAGGAAGCGGTTATGCTTGGGACTGGGCCTTCCCGCAGCCAAAAAAATTAGTTTAATCACTGTTATTTCCTGAATACACTCAGCCTACATAAACCTTCTGTGCATTAATAATTCTGTCTCCATGCTGTCCAGGATCTTCTATTTCTGGATTACCCAGATTTTAAAGTTTTATTTACCTCTTCTTCCAAGAGAATTATATGAAGAGAACATTCCATGACAAAGAACTATCTGAGTTACCATTCGTAAGCAATGAAAATCCAGTTTATGAGGTAGCTGGAGCATCACCTCAAAATCTGTATGTACAGGAAGTTCTCCACACTTTTTATTGTATGCCTATGCGCCAGATTTTACTTATTCATCTTCTGATTCCAAAAACAAAGTGAAAACCTAAAGATACTCTAATATGAAAAGAGTCGGCCACCTACCAGCCATTCTGAGCTCCAAGCCACATAGTCGGCAGAAGGCTACTCATTTTCTGGGCTTCTTCTCTCACCAGATCTTGTTCATTTGGCAATACTGATATTTGATCTTTATACGCATCTGAGTCGTTACTGGAAAAGGTGGGGAAAGGAAATATATCGCAGTATGCTTAGTTTTCAGGGACTGAACACTTCTATATTTTAGTTTAATGGTTTGAAAAAAAAAATTAAACACTAACATTCCAGAAAAGTCAAATTTAAATGCTTATAATAAGTATTTCAATAGTTTTACCAGAAGTAACATTAACATACTAGAGAAGACCAAGGTGCAGATAAGGGAGTTGATACATAGTAATGAAATATAGCAGTTAATATCCAGACTGTAATTATGGCTCTCCCTTAGGGTTATTTTGAATTTTATAAGTTTTTTCCTGGGGGGAAAGAAGAGGAAGGGATGGTTTGTTTTAAAATCATACACACACACAAAGGAGAAGGAGTATAAAGAATTTTCTAAAATAAAGTAATAAGTTAAAATATGCTTGCATTCTCTGCCAAGATCTTCCTTTTGGACTGTCAATATTTTTAGGGACGCCTGGATGGCTCAGTCAGTTAAGGGTCCGACTTCAGCTCAGGTCACGATCTCACAGTTCATGGGTTTGAGCCCCATGTCAGGCTCTGTGCTGACAGCTAGCTCAGAGCCTGGAGCCTGCTTCAGATTCTGTGTCTCCCTCTCTCTGACCCTCCCCTGCTNGAAATCAGAAAAAATAATGCTTAAAATGAAAAAAAAAAAAAAAAGAATATTTTTAGAAAAAGACAACTAAGCTATCAAATCCAAAACAAATCTTCTAAGTCTAAAAAGATGAGTTTATTTTTTTTAACATTTTATTTATTTCTGAGAGAGAGAGAGAGAGACAGAGATAGAGACACCATGAGCAGGGGAGGGTCAGAGAGAGAGGGAGATACAGAATCTGAAACAGGCTCCAGGCTCTGACCTAGCTGTCAGCACAGAGCCCGACGTGAGGCTCGAACCCACGAACCGTGAGATCATGACGAGAGCCGAAGTCGGATGCTTAACCGACTGAGCCACCCAGGCGCCCCGAAATTTTATTCTTAAATTAACAACTGTTAATAGACACTTGATTGTTCTCTAAGCTAAGAGGAAAAGTATCATATTGTAAAACGAATCACGTTTAGATGGATCCCCATTAGCTTTCTATAAAGGCCTAGAGAAGGCAGAAAATAAAATTAAAGAATTCACTAAATGGGCCGATATTACCGAACAAGAAGAGCCATTTGCCAGAAAACAAACTTCACCAAAGTCATCCAAGCCCCCACGGGAAATCTAAATTACCAATTCTGTAGATAAGTAGGGCTGTAGTAAAAGCAGGGCTGGGGAGTAAATGGCACAATTACAAGCCAAATGGAATTGAAAAACAAAATCATATCAGAGGAGAAAATGAGCAGAAAGAGTCTGAGTAATGTACTATATAGGCAAGATTTTTTTTTAAGGTTGTTAGCCCCATGAGTGGGGCGTGGCAGGGGGGTGGGTGGGGGGGACCAGAACGAATGCAGCAGAAGGAGAAGTGGAGGCACACCGGGAGTAAGTAATGACACCACAGTCTGCCACAATCCCACTAGTGGGATTCCCATGGCTGCTTGAGGGGATTCTGGTTCGCTTTACGTGAGCACGTATCTGGCTTCCTCAGCTGCCAACCCGTCTGTATACCTTGACTGATACACAGGTGAGAGGTCCTCTGGGATTTGAACCCCCAGAGGGTCCGTGAAGACGTGCTCTGTGTAGACGCCGGGCTGGGAGGTGTCCGCGGTGTCTTCGGCTGACCCTGCGTTGCCTTCTGTGGCCTCGGTGGCTTCTTCTGCTGTTGGAACATTTTCATCAACCTCACTATTTTCTGCTTCCTTTTCTACAAAATAAATAAAACATGCTAACCAGTGGGAATTTGCGCTTTTCTCCCCATAGTGTCCCTATATGACACACCACTGTAGAACTCCACTCCACCGACCCCGTCCCCCTCCACGCTGTGTCACGAAATACGGAACGACTTAACGGTCTTGACAGTGTCTTCCTTCAAGCTCTTTCATTCCCATCACTTCAAGATCTACATTAAGTATGAGACCGTCCGTAACGAGGCTCGTGGGACAGGTTCTGACTCCGGACAGCGAGGGCACGTACGGGACAGAGATATACCTGCTGGCCTCTCCGTCACGGGAGAAGCACCGTTGGTACTTGGGGAAGTGGCGGCCGCTGTCACCCCTTCTGTAGAACAGCCAACCACAGTGATGCCCCCCAGCAGGCTGTCTGTCTCTGCCGAGCTGTTGCTGGTCACGCTGCCACACAGGGATGCTTTGTCCACCTGTCCAGACTCTGAAAGCTCTTCCCCTGCAGGGTAGTCTGTTTCTCTTGCTCCTGAGAAGCAGGAGAAGCCGTCTTCTAATAGCTGAGTAAACCCCCACAAGGAGCATTTTCTCCAAGAAAGCAAGTATTGGTTTGAAAGGAGAGTATGCAGGGGAGACAAACAGCTACTCGAACACACTGCCAGGAGGACAACTTTAAATTTTATTTAAAGTAACCTTCACAAAATGAGAAAGTAGCTGAAAAAATTGACAGCCTATTACTGGAAGCACAAGTGAACCTGACCATGGCATATGTGACACTTCTGTTCTTAACGAGCTCCCTGGCAGCCACCCAATGAGGTTTCAAACAAGGAAATCTATTACCTGACAAATCAGCGAAACAAATTTTTTAATTATCAAGATTACTATTTAAAACATGGACTCCGGGGGCGCAGCGGGGGGCGGGGGGGCCGGGGGGGGGCGCTCAGTCAGTTAAGCATCTGACGCTTGGTCTCGGCTCAGGTCATGATCTCATGGTTCACGAGTTTGAGCCCCGCATCATGCTCGCTGCTGTCAGCACAGAGCCGGTTTAGGATTCTTTCTCTCTCTCAATCTCAATCTCTCTCTCTCTGCCCCTCCCCCGCTTACGTGCACACTCTCGAAAATAAACAAACATTTAAATAAACAATAAAATAAAAATATGGACTTCCATGGTGCCTCAGTGGCTTAGTCAGCTAAGCGCCCAACTTCAGCTCAGGTCATGATCTCACATTTTGAGGATTTGAGGCCTGCCTTGGGCTCTCTGTCCCTGCCTCTCTACCCCTCCCTCACTGGTTCTCTCTCTCTCTCTCTCTCTCTCTCTCTCTCTCTCAAAATAAACTTTAAAATGAACAAATAATAAATAAATATAAAATAAAATATGGACTTCCAACACTATTAAAAACTGATCATCCTGGGGCACCTGGGAGACTCAGTCTGGCTCTTGATTTCAGCTCAGGTCATGATCTCACAGTCTGTGAGACTGAGCTCTGCATCGGGCTCTGCCCTGACAGTGATGCTCAGCTTCAGATGCTCTTTCTCCTCTCTCTGCTCCTCCCCCACTCTCACTCTCTCTCTCTCAAAAATAAACATTAAAAAAACCAAACAAACCCTACACGTATACAGTCTCTCAAGATATTAGGAATACATATAAAAGCTAAGCATTTGCCATATAAAGATAAATTCCTTCAGTTTTCTTTATTCAAAAGCTGTTGTTATATAGACATTAAAGTATTTATTGTAGTAAGATATACATGAGTAATCTAAAACTTGATAATTTAACGTTTTTAAGGGTACAGTTCAGTGGCATTAATTACATTCACAATGCTATGCAAGCACCACAACTATCTATGTCTAAAACTTGTCCATCACCCGCCCAGAAAGTCTGTGCCCATTACACAGTAACTCCCTGTTCCCAGAGCCCCTCCTCGCCCATCCCTGGTAAACTCTAGTCTACCTGTCTTTCTGAATCTGCCTAGTCCAGACCCCTTACATAAAGGGAATCATGCAACATGTGTCCTTTTTGTGGCTGGGTTATTTTGCTTGGCATGTTTCCAAAATTAATCTCTGTTGTAGGACATATCAGAATTCCATTCCTTTTTATGACTGGAAAATATTCCACTGTGCAGACATATCACCAACCTGTTTAATGTTTAAACCAATGTTTAAACATCCTATTAATATTCAACACAGAGCTTTAAAAAGCCTTCTCTTACTAGTTAATCTAAATGGCCTCTTGCTCTCTGCCCACCAATCATCTTCTCATATTACCATGTTTCACTTTCTTCATAGTACTGAAAATATCTTTAGTCATTTGTTTCCAGTTTATTTTTGGTCTTCCCCAACTAGAACACAAACTCCAAGCGAGCGGTGCATGACTGCATCTCCAGTAAACAAATCAGTTCCTGACAGTACAAAGGTGCAGACGGCAGGGAGAAAGGGGAGTGGCTTACCCTTACCTGGGACGCTGGCTATGCAGAGAACATGAGAGTTGCACACAGTGAAACTGTCTAGGATGTTGCCTGGTTGAATAGCATCAATAATGATTACTTTTGTAGCTGAATGAGTGCTGGTACAGATCCAGACTAGACTGGATAATTCTTCTTGATTTTTTAACTCCTTCTGCTGTTCCTATGTATACAAAGTAAAAAAAAAAAGAATGTTTAAATGATATGTATGTGTACTTCATAAGGCTGTGCTATTACAGTAAAGGGCAATGCTATTTTGAGTTTATCTGCAGATTATTTGAAAGGCCAGACATAAAACCAACTTCCAATATTAATTAGCAGACATGAAACTAGCAGTGATAAAAATGTTCTGTGTCTTGATTGTGATGGCTCCTAAACGGGTGCAGACAGTTGTCAAAACTCTTTGAACTGTACCATTTTCACGTGTGTAAATAGCCTCCTGTATGTAAAATATACCTCAGTAAAACAGATCTAGAAAAGAGCACGGGGAATAAGCAAAGGCCTAATAACCCCAATTAGTTAGAAGCTGGTCCAGAAATAAGTTTTGGACCAAAGAGCTAAGCCCAGGAGGTCAAATGTTAGTGAACACACTTACCTTAAGTTCCTGGTCTAACTTGTCTAAACTGCTCTGTGATGCACTTCGCTGTTTACTGCCTTCTGTATCCAAACCAGCAACATCCTTGTAAAATACACTTGCTCCAACAACAGAGCCACCATCTCTGGTCTTCCCACCTGATAAATTGACTCCAACAGCACACCACAGCTTTTTGGGTTAAAAAAATTTTTAAAGAGGTATTAAGTCTATTTTCTCTCTAAAATGTTCAGACCTTTTCACATTTCTTTAACAATCTAATGATTTGGAATATAAGTCTTTTTGTTTGTTTCTTTCTTTTACATGGGGCTTACCCCCACTGGGAGCTCCACATCATGGGGCTTGAACTCATAACCCTGAGATTAAGAGTCGCATGCTCGGGGCGCCTGAGTGGCTTAGTCGGTTAGGCGTCCGACTTTCGCTTAGGTCATGATCTCGCGGTTCGTGGGTTCGAGCCCCGCGTCAGGCCCTGTGCTGACTGCCAGCTCAGAGCCTGGAGCCTATTTCAGAGTCTGTGTCTCCCTCTCTCTCTGACCCTCCCCTGCTCACGCTGTCTCTCTCTCTCNTTCGTGGGTTCGAGCCCCGCGTCAGGCCCTGTGCTGACTGCCAGCTCAGAGCCTGGAGCCTATTTCAGAGTCTGTGTCTCCCTCTCTCTCTGACCCTCCCCTGCTCACGCTGTCTCTCTCTCTCTCTCCTAGAAATAAATAAAAAATAAAAAATAAAAAAATAAAAAAAAAAAAGAGTCGCATGCTCTACTAACTGAATCAGACAGGCGCCCCATGAACACAGGTCCTTAATATTCAAAGTATCCCAGTTTAAAACTACAAAATAAACAATAAGTTCACTCCCAGAAGTAGAATTTAAACTTTCTTGGTTCTAGGGGGGAAAAAATCCACCTCAGAGTTTAAGAAATATTTTCTTTAACTTCAAAATTAATCTACCTTCATTGATGTATCTTTTTCATCTAGAGGTCTGAGATAGACAGGCACAGGAAGATTTTTCATCTTATTTTCCCCTTGGCCATTGGTTACCTAGTAATTGGGAAGAGGAGAGAAAAAGACACATTGGTAAGTCTCATCAGAAGTGAATTCACACAACCACTGACCCATGAGCAAGCACTGCTAGTACATACTTACTCTTTGAAATCAAGTTTAAGTTAATTTTGTTATTCTTATTTGAAAAATAAGCAGAAAGTCAAGTGGCAATTAGAAAAAACAAGATACTACGGGAGTTCATAAGAGATACACTAACTCATATACATGTTAGTGCATATGTGTGTGCAACAGCATGTATGTGAGTACACATGTGCTGAGTCTTTGAGCGGTGGGAATATGGAAGCAGACAAGTTTCTGTAGATGCAAACTGAGTTTTACATCAATAGTCTGAAAGACTCCATGACGGGGCACCTGGGTGCCTCAGCCGGTTAAGCGTTTGGCTCAGGTCCTGATCTCACAGTTCATGGGTTCAAGCCCCACGTCGGGCTCTGTGCTGACAGCTAGCTCAGAGCCTGTTTCAGATTCTGTGTCTCCCTCTCTCTCTGAGCCTCCCCTGCTCACGCTGTCTCTCTCTCAGGGGGAAAAAAAAATTTTTTTTTTTTTTTGAAAGGCTCCATAACAATGGTTTCTTAAAACTTCTAAAAAAATAGATGTTGTTTTTTAAAAAATGAAATCTTCAAACACTAAAATACAGCAGGATACTCTTTAAAATCAATTGCTCCCCACCAAAATCTTATTTAAAAATGGGCAAGTGATCTGAATAAACACTTTTCCAAAGAAGACATACAGACAGCCAACAGGTACATGAAACAATGTTAATATTAACATCATTAATCATCAGGGAAATCCAAATCAAAACCATAGTTAGATACCACTTGACACCAGAATTGCGATTATCAAAAAGACAAGAAATAACAAGCGTTGGAGGGATGTGCAGAAAAGGGAATGCTCGTGACTATGTAAGTGGGAATATAAACTGGTGTAGTCACCATGGAAAATAGGATGGAGGTTCCTCAAAAAGTTAAAAACAGGGGTGCCTGGCTGGCTCAGTCAGTAGAGTATGTAACTCTTGACCTTGGGGTCATGAGTTTATTAAGCTCCACACTGGGCACAGAGATTACTTTAAAAAAAAAATGAAAAATTGAACTACCATATGATGCAGCAATTCCACTTCTGGGTATTTATCTGAGAAAACAAAAACATTAACTTGAAAAGATATGTGCATCTCTATGTTCACTGTAGCATTATTTACAGCAGCCAAGACATGGAAACAACCTAAGTGTCCGTCAATAAATGAACGTATAAAGGAAATATGGTATAAAAATACAGCGGAGTATTATTCAGCCGCAAAAAAAAAAAAAAAAAAAGAATGGTATCCTCCCACTTATGACAACATGGATGGAACTTTAGGGCATTATGCTAAGTGAAGTAAATTCAGGCAGAGAAAGACAAATACCATATGATCTCATTCATCTGTGGAATCTTAAACAAACATACAAAGCTCATAAATACAGAGAATAAACTGGTGGCTGCGAGAGGCAGGGTGAGTAGGGGAAGTAGTACGTAAAGGGGGTCAAAAAGTGCAAACTCGCATTTGTAATGGACGGCATGGCAACTATAATTAATAACACTGTCGCACATTAAAGTGGCTGAGTCATCTTTAAAGTTCTCACTGTTAAGAAAAGATCTGCAACCAGGTTCAGTGATGGATGTTAACTATTAACTAGACTTAATGTGGTGACCACTTCAGAATATATAAAAATATCAAATTATGTTGTACACCTGAAATGAACATAATGCTGCTCTATGTCGACTCTACTTCACTAAAAACAAAACAAGACAAAAACACAAGAAACAAACGAGCAAGGCACCTCAAGCCCCACGCACTTGAACCACCTCCTGTTGACGCTCTCCCTCCTCACAGATCCGGCGTTTCTTTTGTGCCCTGGGGCGCCAGGAAATAGCCTGAAAACCACTACCCTGAGCCCTTCTCTAAATGTGTCTCAGATCCATGAACTTGAAACGAGCAGGTTTTGAGACCTGTATTTCAACTCCTTCGTGCCCAGGGACACTCCTCTCTCCCCTTGCTTTTCCCACTAGATGCTCTTACCATGTTCACGTGTTACCTGTTTGTACTTTTGAGGCAGACTCCAGCCAAAAGCCTGCACTCTACCATCTTCCTTCTGAACGTGGGCCTTCACCTGACGGTACTGTTCTCTCTTCTGTTCTCTGCGTGAGGCTAAACTAGCTTCAGTTCTTTAAAAAAAAAAAAAAAAATCCCTTTTTAATTAAGGGAATATAGCAATAGCATCTCTTCCCTTTCCCACTAAGAGAGCAAAAATAACAACAAAAAAAAATTACATAATTTCAGAATAGTTTACTTCAGACTTCTGCCTTAAGAAGTAGTATCCTGGGGCACCTGGGTGCCTCAGTCAGTTAAGCGTCCGACTTTGGCTTAGGTCATGATCTCTTGGTCTGGGAGTTCAAGCCCCACATCAGGCTCTGTGCTGACATCTCAGAGCCTGGAGTCTGCTTCAAATTCTGTGACTCCCTCTCTCTCTGCCCCTCCACCACTCACACTCTGTCTCTCTCTCAAAATAATAAACATTAAAAAAAAAAGGGAAGTATTATCCTAAAAGCTTGTCTTTCTAAAGCTGTGCAGCAGGTACAGTGTTCAAGCTTTAACAGATTAGCAAGCAGACTGCTGTATTATGTTTAATCACCAGCCATCACATTTCTATCAGGTTTCAGAATTTGGCGATATGAGAGGGAAAAATTCTTATATATTTTTAGTTCCTCCCTTTTTTGTTCATTCAACAAATATGTACTGAGAATTTTCTAATGCCTGGGAATGTGCCAGAGGTAATTAAAGATAAATAAACTTATATTGTCTTAGGAAGATAATAAAGGTTCATTTCTGGACCCCATTAATTTGTTTCAGAAGACAAAAATGCAAACTGACTGGATCAGTTTGTGAACAATGGAGTAAAATAACAAAGAAAATCATCCTGAAAATAATTAGTCTTTCTTTGGGCTATTTAAATGTTTGTGAGGTGACTTGCTATGTATGCATAGTTAACAAGTCTATCGGTGTATCAGACACTGTAGAATTTAACCCTAGTATCTCTGAGACAGATTTTCAGACTCATTTTACAGACAGAGAAACTGGGGCTCTGAGAGGTTAGGTTGTCCAAGGTCATGTACCTAATGAGCAGCAGAGTCAGGAGGGAAAATCAGCTGTTTCTGACACCAGAATGTTCTCACACCTAGGATGAAGGGCTCTATAGGCCTTTAACATTTCGACTGATACCTATCAGTGTTGTTATACCAGCAACAAGGAGACATTTCAAAGCAATTCCCCGTTTATGAAAACCATGAAGTGCAATTTTCATAAAAGATATTGACTACAAGTCAAAATAAAGGTAGGCAGCCACATTACAAAACTGGTTTCTTTATAGATTTATGTGAACCTTACAGCTGATCCTGAACTGTTAACTTACTTTAGAGCATAAACACTAGTCTGGAAAATACGTACTCTTCACTAAGGAAATCAAAGGCTTTGGACTTATCCCCAGGGAGCTGAGATAAGGTGCTGCTTCTTTTCTTGACAGAAGGAGTCACGTGAGAGGTGGGTGCATTGTACTTCAAATTAACAGGTGGTTCAGGCTTCTTAGCAGTATTACTTGAGGAGCTAAAAAGTCGGCTGAAACTAAAAAGTGAGAGAGAGAGTGAGAGAGCGATTACATGCACTGCAAGAAACAATCCACAACTTTCCACAAGTTAGAGTGCTTTTACAAGGCAATGAGTTAGAAGCTGGCCGAAAGATTTTTGTAGTCATACATCACGACCTTAGCAATAACTCACAGCCAAACTCAGACATTCAGGAAAGAGAAACTATCACTTAGAATGGCAGATCCTTGTTCTTTAATTAACAATTCACATAATGAAACGAAGACAGTCTTAAGTGCAGGGAACTTCTTGTAATGAAGAAATAAAGTAAGGTGGTTCCTAGCTCCTACTTGGTGAGCAGTTGTTAAATAGCAAGGTTATGGCTGCAAGTTTCGAACAGAAGCTTCGTTCACCAGTTCTAAAGATAGTAAGAAAGTCCTGGAACACATATTGCCATTTTAACATCCATCTTACACATAATCTTATTAAGCTCAAATTATGTATTTAGCTTCACATCCACTTAAAAGAATTAACACTTCTATTAGATAGCAGACTCTCCAAAAAAGGGATAAGTTTTAAGCACAGTGCTTCTGGCACAAACATAATTCAAGTCCAAAACACACATATCTCAAACTTACAGACACTAAACTTCTAAGCTTTACTTTCAATCAAGTAAGTTCCTTACAATCACACAACCAATGAATCCACGTAACATATTTACTGAGGATCCAGGTAATTATCAACTCTACAAATAATTCCCCATAGGTTTTATTTAATTTAGCAGAAGATTCCACCAAATGCACAACCAACACGATGCAGCTTACGATAGCATATGTTTTGTCCTCAAGAATAGCTTACCGAGCTGGCATGCTACGTATCAAAAAGAAGAAGTTCAGTTTAGCCATACACTCTGAATTTTAAAAAGAAAGAAGATAGGAAATCATTCTTAAAAAAATTCTGACTGTAACCTTCCTGTTTCAAAGTGCTCTCTGATGTCTTTATGTGATTTTAGATACTTACAACTGCCAAATGCTTGACCTTTTTTTTTCCTGCATGGCTGGATTTTCTCTTGATGCACTACAATTGAAAAGAAAAACAAAGAAAGAAAAAATGTTTTATCAGTGAGGTGTCGTAGCTTTCTATCTGAAGAAGAGAGGTCCCAAGAAGTTCATGAAATACAGAAAAGAGAATCAACAATTAAATGCAGCAAGTAGTTGCTTTGACCTATCAAGGGTCAGTCAACCTGTAAAGGCTAATACAACTAAGATAAATAAAACACCATCCCTTCATCAAGAGTTCAATCTACTAACAGTGACATGACTGTTTTCTCGGCTGAACAGACAGCCAACATGCCTGAATGTTAATATTTAAAAATTTTTATTGAAAAGATATCCTCCAATTCTCCCTTATGTCAAAATACCGTCATGTAAATCCTAAATCCTTATCTTTACATAAAGGTCTCTATCATCTCATGCTCTAAGCTCTCATAAAATAGCCTGTAACTTTACTGTTCTGATGGGTCATTTTTCACAGGACTAAAACTTTCCCATTAACTGAAAAGATCACTGGAGATGGGGATAAACTGGAGTTCAAGAAAATTTCAGAAATTTGGCACTCCATACCGATTTAGTAAGGTGGTAAGAATTCTGCTCTATCAGAATTCACTCTCCATGTTTTTTTTTAAATGTTTTTTTTTTTTAATGTTTTATTTATTTCTGAGACAGAGAGCGTGAGCAGGGGAAGGTCAGAAAGATAGGGAGACACAAAATCTGAAGCAGGCTCCAGGCTCTGAGCTGGCAGCACAGAACCTGACGCGGGGCTTGAACGCACGAACCATGAGATCATGACCTGAGCCGAAGTCGGACACTTAACCCACTGAGCCACCCGGGCGTCCCTCTCCATGGTTTTTTAAAGAACTGAATTTAAAACATCTTTTAATTCAATGAAAAAGTTTAAAATGAGCTACCATTTCTTTTCACTTGTGGACTACCACGTGGCTGCTAGAATTAAAAATAGCAGTGATGGGGCTCCTAGGTGGCTCAGTGGGTTAAGCGTCCGACTTCGGCTCAGGTCATGATCTCACGGTTCGTGGTTCAAGGCCCGCATCAGGCTCTGGGCTGACAACTCACAGCCTGGCACCTGCTTTAGATTCTGTTTCTCCCTCTCTCTCTGCCCCTCCCCTGCTTGCACTCTGTCTCTCTCTCTCAAAAATAAATATTTTAAAAAATGAAAAAAAAAATAGCAATGAAAAGTGGAACCTGTCTATATACCTCAATTCTTAAAATATTATTTATTTAATATTCATTAAGTGTGAGAGTTAAGAACAAGCTTCTTAGTACATCAGTTTCTTTGATCAATTAATGAAGATTAGAATTCTGATCTCCTTCCATGTTAGCTATTAGCAATTACAATTTTAGCAAATTGCCAATGTGTTATACAAAGTGCTTTCATTCTAGTATGACATTGGTAAAGGACGTATGAACTGTTAAATATAATCACAAGTAAAAACTGGAGGTTAAAAAATAGCTCATAAACTTTAATATGATGTGTCAGTGTATATCTACGATTATTGGTAAATCTGATGTGGGAATCCACTCAAAAATATGGGCAGGGTGCCTGGTTAGCTCTTTTAGATAAGCATCCAATTTCGGCTCAGGTTATGATCTCACAGTTCCTGGGTTCAAGCCCCATGCCGGGCTCTGTGCTGACAGCTCAGAGCCTGGAACTTACTTTGGATTCAGTGTCAACCTCTCTCTGCCCCTCCACAATCACAGTCTGTCTCTCAAAAATAAGTAAATTAGGAGAAAACTAGCTCACAAACTTTTCATGAACTCTTTCTAAATTAAACTAATGAAGGGGCACGTGGGTGGCTCAGTTGGATAAGCGACCGACTTCTGCTCAGGTCATGATCTCACGGTTTGTGGGTTCAAGCTCTGCATAAGACTCTGTGCTGACAGCTCAGAGACTGGAGCCTGCATCTGATTCTGTGTATTTCTCCCTCTCTCTCTCTGCCCCTCTCTCACTCGTACTCTGTCTCTCCCAAAAATAAATAAACATTAAAAAACATTTTTTATAAATAAATAAATCAAGCAAGCAAGCAAGCAAGCGAGGTACACTGCTACTGAGAGTATGACCGTTAGATGGCAGCATTGGGTGAGATCTAAGATCCAACCAGCAAAGATGTCAATAGAAGGTACATTTTGCATGACTAGTCAGAAAGGAGGAAACCCAACAAGTATTTTACAGAAAGACACTGAGTAAAAATAACTTAGTTTCCTGTGTGGCACAAGAAATTTTTGTCTTTTCCTGACATTATTGCAAAAGTAGTGTCAGTTTCCATATTCTTTTGAAAAATGACCATCATTCGTAAGTAATAGCAATGACCTTGTAGAGGTCATGGAAACATCTACAAAGGCACCCCTTTGATCACATTCTGTTCCCAATTCCTAGTGTCCCTTTAGAAAGTATCTCCTAGTGGGGCGCCTGGGTGGCGCAGTAGGTTGAGCATCTTGGTTTTGGCTCAGGTCATGATCTGACAGCACGGGACCCTGCTTGGGACTCTCCTTCTCCGTGTCTCCCTCTCCCCATCCCACGTTTGTGCGCCTGTGGCTGCATGATCTCTCTCATTACAAATGAACTAAAAAAAAAGAAAATCTAAATGAATTTAGAAAAAAAAAAAAAGTATCTCCTAGTAAACAGGGTAAGAGCTTTTGGATCCTGAAGGCAAGACTAGTTCTGAGTGAGAATGTTCAAACCTAGGAAAACAAGCACCCAAGAGGCACTTCTCACCGAATCATCTCTGTCCATCGAACAGCTTCCTGAAGCTCCATCAATCTCTCTTTATACTGGTTTCTCTCCATTAGAACACGCGCCATCTCTACTCTAGTGAAGCGCTTCCTCTGGGCGGTGGGGATATCACTCTAGAATGAAAAGAACACTGCAGGTCACTCTGGGAGCCTGTGTCTGTTTTGGTGTTCTGTTAAACTTAAAGCAGAATCTTTTTTTTTTTTTTTTTTTTTTTTATATTTTTATTTATTTCTAGGAGAGAGAGAGAGACAGCGTGAGCAGGGGAGGGTCAGAGAGAGAGGGAGTGACAGACTCTGAAACAGGCTCCAGGCTCTGAGCTGGCAGTCAGCACAGAGCCCGACGCGGGGCTCAAACCCACGTTCTGCGAGATCATGACCTAAGCGAAAGTCAGACGCTTAACCAACTAAGCCACCCAGGCACCCCTAAAGCAGAATCTTAAAACGTTGAAACATTTCTTAATTTCTAATCTACGGGATCATTTAAAGAAAAATAATCTGGGGCGCCTGGGTGGCTCAGTTGGTTAAGCGTCCGACTTCGGCTCAGGTCATGATCTCGCGGTACATGAGTTCGAGCCCCACATCAGGCTCTGTGCTGACAGTTCGGAGTCTGGAGCTGACAGATTCTCTGTCTCCCTCTTGCTCTGCCCCACCCCAGCTCTCTCTCTCTCCCCCTCTCTCTCTCAAAAATAAAATAAAAAACATTAAAAAAATATTTTAAGAGAAAAATAAACTTATAAAAATAAAATCAATAAAAAGATTTAGATAATTACTTATGATGAAAACAGGTAAAGAATTTAATTTCTGAATATAAATAGAGATATTTGAACATACCATAAAGGAAAATACAAAGAACAGTGTAGATTTTGAACTAAAACCAAAAAAGGTGAACAAAATTTATCTACATAGATTTCACAAGCTCGCCTGGCAATGTTCCTCTAATAGCATTGTTTTCAGTGGATGTTCTATAACAAATGCAAATTATTCAGTAATTTCTTACAATTTTGTCCGGAAAGGGGTTCCTGTATCTCAAACTACCCATTATATACATGTCCAAGGCTAGCACAAAGAGTGAGCTTATGGCCTAGTTACCAAGGTACCCAACTCTAAGAGTCATTAAAGCACCACTTTACAAACCACAAACAAAACTACAAGATGGAGGCAGCTATATTAGCCAGAATTTTTCTAAAGGAGAGTTAAGGCCGTGAGTGTGGTGAAGACCCAAGAAGGCACATGCAAGTCAACCTCCTTCTCTGATTCCTAAATGCTCTTCTGGGGAGGAAGGCTGGCTTAACGGCGGGGCTTGTTTTCTGAGCAGAGTATGCACACTTGGGATCAAACCAGAAAAAGTGGGGAAGTTAAGAACGAGCTGAGCTTAGCCTTTAGGAGTCTCCAACTTTGTCCTCTCCTTTAAACAGAAGTCAAATAGCAGATGATGAAAGGACTTAGAATCTACAACGTGGGAAGCACACTACGAGGTATCTACCCTGGAAAATGAGGAAGACTTCTACTAGACTGTTCCTAACAGCATTGCTTGAGGTAGTAAAAAGCTGAAAATAATGTAAATACTCGTTAATAGGAAAGCAGATACGTAGACTGCAATAGATTCATACAATGAGATATATATAAAGCAGCGAGAATGCAAAACTACCAGCGCTATATGGTAACACAGGTGATCTCAAAAACATAATACCAAGCAAAAGAAGTAAATCTCAGGGCGCCTGGGTAGCTCAGTTGGTTAAGCATCCAACTCTTGATTTCGGCTCCGGTCATGATTTCATGGTTTGTGAGCTTGAGCCCCACATCAGGCTCCACTCTGACAGGATGGAGACTGCTTGGGATCCTCTCTCTCTCGCTCTCTCTCTCTCTCTCTCCCTCCCTCTCCCTCTCTCTTCCTCCTTCCCCCCCACGCCCCTTTCCCTGTGCTTGTGCACGCACTCTCTCTCTCAAAATAAAAAAATACCAAGTAAATCTTCAACAATGAAATAAAAAACAATGAAAACTGAACCATATTTTGTAGTGATACATATATGTATGATATGATAAAAATTATTTTTTTGAATGTATTTTTAAGTAAGCTTTACTACACCAACATGGGGCTTATGGGGCTTGAACTCACGACCCTGAGATCAGGAATCACACACTCTACCAACTGAGCCAACCAGGTGCCCCGATAAAAAAATTTTATTTTCCAAAGGTAAGAAAATGATAATTATAGGACAGTGGTCTCCTCTGGAGGGGAGGAGCATAGGGTAGCTTCACTGTTTGATAAGGTTAGGTGGTGGGTTCTGTATGTTAATTATGTGTTGTAACTTACATGTGTTATGTATACTTTTGGTATGTATCAGGTATTAACTATTAGGGGCACCTGAGTGGCTTAGTTAAGGTAAAGCCTCCAACTCTTGATTTTGGCTCCGGTCATGATCTCACGGGGTTGTGGGAAAAGCTCCACATCAGGCTTTGCATTGGGCATGGGGCCTGCTTAAGATTCTCTCTTCCTTTTCCTCTGTCCCTCTCTGTCTCTCAAAAAAAAAAAAAAAAAAAAAGTTCATAAACAAACTGAGATTAAAGAGGCAACAAATAATCATCTTGTACAGGACACCCACATATCTCAAGTCTGATGTTAGACCAGCAGACACCTGTTACAGGAATAATAATCTAGAAGCCAACAGAATTACTACTATGCTAATTATATTGGCAAGAAACTCACATTCAGCCTTTTGTATCTGTGTATGTTGAAAACAATAAGTAGATTGCCTACTTAAATTAAAGTTCTAGAGCTCATCTTTTTGTTTAATACTATTAAATAACTTTTATTATTAAGCTTTCATATTTCTAATTCAAACTTTGAGACAAAACAAACAATAATAAAGCCCAAAATGTTTTGGCTGGTCCTTGACCTTGAACATGCAAATGCAGGTCAGAACACAGAGCCACAGGGACAAATAAGCACAACACATATCACGAGGAAGCTCAGCACCTGGATACCATGTGGGAGCACGAGCTGTCCTATTCAAGACCACAAACAGACCATCTCTTTTCTTTTTTCAACTTATTTTTATTTATTTATTTTTAGAGAGACAGAGAGTACACCCAAGTGGAGCAGGGGCAGAGAGAGAGGGAGAGGGAGGATTCCAAGCAGGCTCCACACTGTCAGTGCAGAGCCAGACAGGAGGCTCCATCTCTCAAACCATGAGATCATCACCTGAGCCGAAACCGAGAGTCGGGAGCTTAACTGACTGAGCCACCCAGGTGCCCCTTGGCTTTCTTTGTATAATGCTATACCTAAAGATTAACAAGATTTTCTTGAAATACCAAAATGTGGTAAGAAAAAAAGTCCAAGACTGTAAACCTACGTCGTCATCATCTTTTGCTTTTTGCCGTGCGTCTTCAGCTTCTGCGCGAGCTCTAGGGGCAAAAACGGAACATGTTATCTGAGTTGCATTCATCTTCTCAAAGAATAAAACAGTAGGTCAAAAATGTTAATCGATACTAAATGATTATCTTTCTCTTTCCAGAGCAGTTGGCTGCCTTCACTTAGGGCCACACTAATGGAGCACTGGTCTCAGGGGAGGAAAACAAAAAAACAACAGGTGTTACGGAAAATAATGACTGTTTCTAATTTCCTTCTTAGCAAATTTTAGAATGGCCCTACTACCTTTGTTCGCATCATGACACACGCAGAAAGCGGTCACGGGAGCACGGGGTGAGGGGTGGGGCAGGCTTGGCGAGCGACCTTCTCCCAGGCAGCCGGCACCTGACTCGGGGTGACGCCAGCGCCCCTCCCTCTGCGGTGCACCGGAAAAGACAGGGGGTTCCGAAGACTCCAGAGAACACTTACTTCCTAAGCTCTTCCTCCAGCTCCTTGTTCTTTTCCTCCAGCTTCAGTTTGGCCTGTTTCACTGCCTCCAGCTCCCCTTGCAGCACATCTTTCTCACAGGTCAGCTCGTCCACCTTTGCTATCAAATCATTCTTCACTACATTCAAAGCGTTTCTAAGAAACACGTATTTCGAGTCTCATTACAAATAAATACTCTTTCTGTCTTTCAGCTTATTCTTACAGACTCAAGTGATTACAAATGATACAATCAAAGCTGAATAATTGAATACTTTAAAGGTATTCTATGTGGTGCCATTTGCAGATGATTTAAAAACACAGAGCAACCATCTAAGTTTTTACTCTTCTCACTTATCAAAGAACACATGGATAAAGCAGGGCAGACCACCAACTAAGGAAAAGCCAGAATTAACTAAGATTAAACGTTTACAAAACAGCATCATCTGTAAGGGTACTGTCATTAAGTTCTGAAAAAAATATTACCTAATCAATAAAAGAAGATTTATCCTTGAATTAACCTTTAATAATCGATGAGAAAAAAGTCTAAAAAAAAACACCTGGAAAAAAAATCTAAGATATAGATCTTTTGGATACAGGTGGGCATAGTGCCTTTCACTGCATTCTATTTTGGATATACCTGGATGTTCCAAAGATGCTCCGACACAGCAAATTAACAAAGGGCTCTCGTATTCTTTTCCACATGACTCAGAACTTGCCTGAGTCCAATATGTTTGAGGGCCTAGGATCCCCGAAAGTTATACCTGAACGCCTACAACTATGGTGGAGACCTCTGAAAAGGTGGCTGGGTATACATCAAAACATGTATGCAGAAATAAAGAAACCCCAGGGGAAAAAGGTAAGAGAATAGGCATTCCAGGGGAGGGACCAAAAGAGCACAGGACATATACGGAACGTTAAGAGAAAGACACGCATACTTGTAGAATGGAAAGGAGATGAAAACTATTTCTGCAAAAAACAGAGCAAACAAAACCTATCCATCAGTGAAAGCAAGTCCCATTACCCATTTTGGAAGGGGAGCGAGCAAGACAGGGCAGGGAGGCTGCAGTCGAATGCTGTGTTACATTAAACGAGGGTCAGTGACTTAGATGAGAAAATTCAGTATCTTGTGTTCCTTGTTAAAATTTTGTAGATATACTTACTTGGTTTCCAACAGTTGTGTATTTTCTAATATAAGATTCTCGACTTCACGACCCATTCCTACCAAAAGAATAATATAAGAACTTTAAAAAAAAAAGTTGTCAAAAATTATATAAGCTTGTATTACAGTAAACTATAGCCTCAAATTTTAATCTATAAATTTTATGTGTCCTTTAGTAACCTTAGTTTGTCTATAATCTCATTTGATAGATCTACTTGTGTAGATTATAAAATTATAATTATCCATCACAAAACAAAGCTAAAGATTTTGTTAGCCAATTCTTTATAACTGTTAGTCTATATTTTGTTTCTCATAGATAATATTTCAAAATGATCAAGACTTTTCTGCCAAATATTCTAAGAAGTAGCAGTATTTAGAGAAAAAAAAAAAGAGTAGGCATTAATACAGATCAGAAATCATTTCCAAATCACAGCTGGTATTGAAGGCTTTTCCCTAAAAATTAGGTCTTACTAAGAGAGAATTGGCAGAAACAAGGCCAAAGAAAGACGGAACCCCAATGCAGATGAAACCTTACCAAAGAAATTATGGTCTTAAAGCCCATGCATTCCATGTAAAGCAAAAACAAAGAACAAGAAATGTTTTATGTAAGAAACAGCATGAAAATAGATTATTAATCTGTAAAGTTTTATGCATGATATGAAATACATCTGGAGTCACAGTGCATAATGATGTGCAAAAAGACAGAAATTAAGATGATATCTTTCATTTATAAGGATGCTCTTCAATATGTTTTACCAATTCTTTCGCACAATGAAAACGGGTTAGAATGAAAATCCCACATCAATAATATAAAGTTTCCCTCAAAGTGCTACCTCTGAAATGATAATGTTTGGTTATCACTTTTGAAATTCCTGTTTAATAATTTAATGAGGACTGTAAGGTAGGCAGATAGAGCATTCAATGCAAGATCCAATGTAATGATCTTTAAGGAGAAGAAAGTTATTTAATTTGCTAATTCTAAGAAACTAAAGAAATAAAACAACACACTAGGGAATGTATCTCAAAAAGTTACAAAATCAAAAAAGCAAAACAAAAGACCCATCACTACTTAACCCAGCTAATGCTGGAAAATATACATTCAGTGGAAGAAGTACTATTCATTCGCATAACCCAGCTAAACAGAAAGGAAATATCCTAAAGAAATGTTTCTAAAGAAAACTACATAAGGAAAAGGAATTGTTTTTTTAAAATAAGTTATTTAAAGGTAGTATTTCAAATGACTTAAAGATAATTAAAAAAAAAGAAAAAGAAAAAGAAAAACCAACCTAGGAATACTAAAAATTCAATGCTTACCTATATGGACTCACATTTTTCCTACATTATAATCATCTCAAATCTCTCAAAGATCAGATACTTCTACCATGAAGAATTAAATATCAGTAACAGCAGTTTATTTATTCATCTATATATTCCTCAAAAAGTGAACATAAAGACAAACTAAAAAAAGTTTCCAAATTCTAATCCCAAAATGAATTTTGACAAGATATTGTTGAAATATTTGCTTTAAACACTAATGTTGACTTTCAATAAAGCCTTATAGTCAGAAGAAATAGGGTTTAGATTGGTTGCAAAAAGCTTATGTAATGACTATGTTTGCTATAAACTTTCAAGCATGTAGGGAGAGAAGCATAAAAGCTGAAAATATATGGAAGGCAAAAAAAAAAAAATAGCTGAGCAGAAAAAAATGATGAGAAGGCATTACATGAGGATAGCAGCCAAGAACACCTAGCTTAAAAAGCAGTAATATCAAAGTATTTAAAAGCATACACACCAGAATATTCCCCTGGGTAAGCAGCCCAAGAGAAAAATGAATGAGAATCACAATTAGATTGTTTTCAGAAAGCAAGATCTATGCTCATTTGTTTCAAAATGAGAGAAAGAAGACAATAAAATTTAAAAGATGTAGAGAAACCAACCATTAGCTGGACACAATAAAGTGTAAATATAATAAATAAGAAAAAATCTTGAAATATGTACCATATGGGAATATCTGATAATGGAGTTTCTGAAATTTACACATTCTCAGTGAAGAGTTCTCCCAAAATCTAGTGTATAAATTTAATATTTGGTCAATAGGATTGCCCAAAATTTTCATTTTGAAATGTACTGATAAAAACTAACTCCTAACTATAAGAAAAACGTAAGTTGAAGTGGCCTCGTTCCTATTTAAGGCTTCAACCAAACACAAACTTAGATCTAACGTATTTGCCAACCTTACCTATTAAAAAACAAGCAAGCAACTGCCTGGCAGTTTTTTAAATCCTACAAGTCTCACTTGGATGTTAGCACCAATCCTCAAGCTATGTCCATAGCTGGGCCTCAAAACGATCTGTTAATCCCTTGAGAAAGTAGGCACAATTTTGTCTACCTATATGTGCATTTTTCCAAAAGTACACTGCTTTCTTACAAATATCTCCCATAAAGGAGTTCTAATTCTAAAAAGTGAAGAATCACAGATTAGAGGTAAAATAGAACTATTAGAACTACTTAGCAATTCATTCACTTAACTGGGGTGCTGTGTGCTAAAGGACAAAGTTGTCTTGGGCACAGGAGAGCTTAGAGCCCCAGGGAAAGGAGTATGTAAACAATTACAGGAAAGTATAAAGTGTGGCATAAGGAACACAATGAGCACCATGAGAATACATTTCATGGACAATGAAGCTTTAACTAGGGAATCAAAGCAGAATTCCAACGGGAGGATATGCAAGGGGATATAGAAAGAGATAAATATATATATTCTTTTTTTTTTTTTTTTTAAAGAAGGGGAGTAAACAAGCTTTGGTGACTGGTTCCAAGGGAAATGGGAGAGATCCTGAATGGAGACCTGAGTGGTCAGCAAGGTCATTCATTCACTGAGACAGTACATGCTGGGATAGGAACAGCTTGAGGAACAATGAACATGATTGCACGGAGCTTTAGGCACATCAAGTGTAAAGCCCTACAAATCATCTCAGAGGTGTCTTGCGGGCTGCTTGGAAGTAACAGTCTGGGGCTCTAGAAAAAGATCTTGGAAGGAGATAAAAACTGTGGAGCACTTTCCCACAAAAGCCAGGAAACAAGAGCAAACAAGATTTCCCAAAGAAGCAGGCCTGGGGGCACTGATATCTGAAAGGTGGGGAGAAGAAGAGGATCCTGTAAAGAAGACTGAAAAACAACAGTCAGAGTAGGAAAGAATGCAGCAAAGTCGGTTATCACAGAAATCCAGCGGAGATGGTGTTAAAGACAAATGCTACTGGAGAGGTCATAGGAGAGAATGCAGAAGGGCCAGAAGGACCCGATGGATATAGCAAACAAGGCTGTTTTAGGCAAGGAGAGTGCAGGGAAGAATGTCCACACAGACTGCAGGGGAAGAGGTGCGAGTGGGAAAAGGGGGGTCCTGCCAATTTAAAGTAGCTACACGTTCACTGATGTACCCCAAGCATCTAGAATAGTCCCAGGCACATAACAGAACCTTGCCGACACTGCTGCATAAAGGGCTGACCAGAAATGCAAGAGAGTGAAGGTATAGGGTCAGAGGAGGACAGTACTTTCATCTTTAAATGGAAAAGATCTGAACATGTTTAAATGAGAATGGAAGAAGTAAAGATAGGGGCGCCTGGGTGGCTTAGTCGGTTAAGCGTCGACTTTCACTTAGGTCATGATCTCGCGGTTTGTGGGTTCGAGCCCCGCGTCGGGCTCTGTGCTGACTGCCAGCCCAGAGCCTGGAGCCTGTTTCATAGTCTGTGACTCCCTCTCTCTCTGACCCTCCCCTGCTCACGCTGTCTCTCTCTCTCCTAGAAATAAATAAAAACATTAAAAAAAAAAAAAAAAAAGAAGTAAAGATAGTAAAGTTGAAACTATAGAAGATACCAAGAGAAAGTAAATCCTAAGAGTAGGATGTATGACTTCCAAGTTCTAGAAAGTGGCCATAGAGACTATGTGACTAAAGTGAATAGAAGAAGGATTGATGAAAATAAAGGATAAGGACAAACGGAAGGGGTGGGGGGACGGTTACCTCTTTTAAATTAGTAAAATTGGAAAAAAATAATCTAAGTGCTGAGTATAGGCATAATGGTTGCAAAACTTTATATCCCTGAACAAGAAAAGAGTATTACAATGATATAGTAATTAAGAAAATGAATAATGAGTTACAGAAAGTGGACTATGTACTTATTTATCAACCCAAGGTCAATTAAAGAACTTTGGGAAACAATTTTGTTAGTTTCACTCTCTTGAATTTAGTGTTACACCTCAGCTGCTATCACAGAATTGTACAGAAGAGAAGCCAGGGAACACATGTGTGACTTGGAAATTTCATTTACCATCTCGGACCAAAAGGTATTCATGTAAGCATAAGTCACCACACTTAAGGTAGTAGAGTAAAATCTTTTAATCTGGAACATTCTAGAGAAAAACATATCAGTATCTGCAAAAGGGAAAAGACACTAGTTTACAGTCTATTTCTTATTTTCAAAGTAGAAAGGAAACCAGAGTATCAGGATTTTGCTTTTAACCTACTCATTATGCTTAATTTTCTGACTTAAAGAATGGAAGCTTTCAGAAAATACTTGATTTAAAAGATCACAATTATTTCTAAGTACTATGTGGCTTCTTGACTCTTTACAAAAAGGAAAGTTTGGGACCACCAATCTCAAAAATTATATTATTCAATACTGGATTATGAAGTAATAAAGAGTAAACATTAAAAAGTACTTCATTCCTGGGGCATGTGGGTGGCTCAGTTGGTTAAGCATCTGACTCTTGATTTCACCTCAAGTCATGATCTCACTGTCAGTGAGTTCGAGCCCTGCATCAAGACTCTGCACTGACAATGAGGAGCCTGCTTGATTTCTCTCTCTCCCTCTTTCTCTGCCCCTCCCCTGCTTCCTCACTTGCTCGCTCCCACTCTCTCTCTCTCTCTCACAAAACAAATGAATAAACTTAAAAAAAAAAAAAGTACTTTTTTCTGGTTAAATACAAAGGAGTAGCAGGAAAGAATTTTGGGGGAGTATATTGATTCTGGTGGTAATTATATAATTCTGTGCATTTGTCAAAACTCAAAAAGGTTGCCATAAAGAGTGAATTTTACTATATATAAATTTGAATATAAATTAAAACTTTAAATAAGTTCTTTGAACATTTTTTTGCATATACCCTTCAATTTTGCCAGGGACTCAGTTTTCTAAACACAACTTTTATGCATGATTCAATGTTAACTAAAGTTACAGTGTAAATTTAAATGTAAAAATGGAGTGTTCCTTAAGAATTAATCTTTAGCCCTCCTTGAGAAGTGCAAACCCATTCAACTGCTTCTAATATTTTACTTAGACTTAATGGTGGGAGTCCATGACTAACTGAGAATAGTTTTATTTATGATAAATTTTCAATCTCCCTTATGAGATAGACTGTGAGCTCCATTTAGACACAACTTACATTTCCTTCCAAAAATACTTCAAACTTTCAAGGACATAATGGTAATCAGTAAATTTAACACAAATTAATACAAGCAATCCTACTTTATAGTCATAAGCACCGACAAACAGCACTTTTGAGAACACTACAGTCTTTATTATAATTACACTAAGAGATACAAAAAGTTTTTGGAGACCAGTATCTATTCAAAAGGCATAGGTTTTTAATCCTATAAGATTTTTCAATTTCTGTAAGGTCTTAAATGATAAGAAAGGTACCATCAAAGCTAACTGACATAATTCAGAATCATATAAATATTGTTGAAAGAAACTTTATAAATCACCTTGATCAGGAATCTACACATTCTTTACATAAAGGGTCAGATGGTGACTGTTTTTTCTTTGTAAGCCATACGATCTGTTATAGACTACTGAACTGCTGTTGGGTACAAAAGTAACTACACACAATAAGTAAACAAATGAGAGTGGCTATGTTCCAATAAAGCTTTATTCATACACATCGGAAAGAAGCTGCCTTTGAGTCTGTGAGCAACCGTTTGCTTAATCCCTGAACTAGAATCCAGTTCCTTCATTACTTAGTTAAGAATCTGTGATTGGGAACAGCTAAGCTATTTGGCAAAGGTCACCAGACAAGAACTCAAAGAGCCAAATGTAGTATTCCTTTCAAACCAGGAGTTCTTCAACACCACAAACTCAAAAATGATTAGATTTCCCATAAAGCTAAAACAGAATATTCTGTGAAATCTCAGAAAGAAACAAGTATTCTATATTCTTACTTAAATAAAGTCAACAGAATTAAAAGAAGTCTTAAGGGGCACCTGGGTGGCTGTCAGTTGAGCACCCGACTTCAGCTCAGGTCATGATCTCCATTTGTGTGTTGAAGCCCCCGTCAGGCTCGCTGCTGTCAGCACAGAGCCTGCTTTGGATCCTATGTCCCCCTCTCTCTGCCTCTACCCCACCTGCACTCTCCCCAAAATTAGTAAATATTTAAAAATTTTAAAAAAAGAAATGTAATTAAGCCAGGAACTATCAATCTATACACACGCACACACCCACAGCACTGTGCTCCTTACGTGTAATACTGTTCTTGGAATAGCACAGATTCAATAAAATGTGCTATATGAATTTCAAAATACAAATCTAAATGCAATTCAATTTGAGAGATATCCATATGCAAAGATGCTTTCATTTAAAACTCCCATTATCTCAAAGAATATTTTCCTATGAATTACCTGAAAGTGCAGTCACTGTGTGCTACTGAACAGTTAGGGACATTTTAAAGTAATGTTCAATTAAATCATTTAAAAATCTACTTTTAAAACTGCAGGATACATCTTCAGATAAGCTATCATACCTAGTAAATCCGCTCCTTCATCCACATCTCCAATTAGGCCTGAGCCAGCTGAAGACAGTTCTTCAAAGAGAGATTCTGTATTGCGATCAAAAGCTTTGTTCTCTATGCCTTTGGTAGGAGTGCTATGCAACAAAAACAACACAAACAAATCAACAAATATTACAAAGACATGGTCAACAGTGTAAAATGAATACAATAGGCAAGTAATTGTCTACCTGTAATTTATATTTAATACAAAATGTAATTTCAAAAGATTTCTCAAAGGTTTCCTAAGAAATTCTCATTAAACTTCACAGATACAATGACTGAAGGGGACGCCTGGGTGGCTCAGTCGGTTGGGTGTCTGACTCTTGATTTCAGCTCAGGTCATGATCTCACAGTTGTTGGATGGAGCCCTGTGTCAGGCTCTGCACTGACAGTGTGGAGGCTGCTTGGGATTCTCTCTCTCCTTCTCTCTGCCACCCCCCACCAACAGCATTCTGTCTCTCAAAATAAATAAACATTTATAACAAAAATTAAAAAAAAGAAGAAGAAGAAGAAAACACAGAATGTTCATCTGTGGTCACAACCCTGCAAACACAAATAATAAATGACAACCACAGAGCACTGCATGGCGTCAGGCACCATGTAAGTGCCTTACGAAGATTACCTTACTGCAAACTCACAGCTATGCTATAAAGGAGGTGCTATTATCCCAATTTGATAGAAGAGGAAACTAAAGAGATTTAAGGAACTTGCCAAGATTGTCCAATAAATGAGTGAAAGAGGCAGGATTCAAACCCAGATGGTCAGGCATCAGAATCCATGATGTTAACTATCATGTTGTATGTTGTCTGGTGTAACTTGGCATGGCCATTTTATTTTTCTTTTAAGAGCAATTACAGAATCTATTAAGATCTGTAATACAAATACCCACTGACCCAAAAATTCAATGTCCAAAATAATCATACAAAAACCCTGTCACAAGAAGGAAATTACGAATGTAAAAGGATCGTCAGAGTAGCATTCCTATAGCAGCCAGAAGTTGAAATGACCTAATTGATCATTAATAGGACAAAGATAAGTTATGGATACACATAAAAGTTAAAGACTTTTAACTTTATAGTTAAAAACATCAAAATAGAGCTTTATAAACTAAAGAAGCCCGTTATATAGAGGTGTTTTTTATTTTTCATTATTTTTTTAAAGCAAGTTATAAAACCGTGTATGGAAGAAAATGGGGAAATGTGTATGTTTGTGCATCAACATTAACCTGCACAGGATTTCTAGGTAAACTTGGATCGGACATTGTCATTTGCCACCCAATAGGACATGGGAAATAGAAAAAGAAACTGCAGCAGATGAAATGTGAACAAAATTCTGTTAAGACAGAAAACGGGCCAATTACAGAAACTGATTTGACAGACCAGAAAAAACGGCTAAGCCACTGGGGTTTACAGAGGAACACAGCATATTGCCAGAACTGTTGAGAAGCCCAGGAATTGAAGGAACCAGCAATGTGTAGACAGGCGCGTGCAAGGGGGAACATAAAACAGAAGGATGGGATGAAAGCACAAGAAGCACTATGAAGTGAGGTCCAATCCTCCGAACAGTGAGACACCACCCCCACCCCACGCCCCACCCTGGGGAACTCTTGATTTTAGCTCAGGGCCTGATCTCAAGGTCATGAGATTGAACACCACGTCAGGCTCCAAGCTGAGCATGGAGCCTGCTTAAGTGTCTCCCTCTCTCTGCCCCTCCCTGCTACTTACGCTTTCCCATGCTCTCTGTCTAAAAGAAAAAAAAAACCTAAGTAAACAAAACAAAAACCCACCAGGTTTTTTTTTTTTTTTTTTACTATCACAGCGTTTTTAAAATCCGGTTCCTCAGGGCACCTGGATGGCTCAGTCAGTTAAGCGTCCAACTTCGGCTCAAGTCATGAGCTCCCTGTTTGTGAGTTTGAATCCCATATCGGGCTCTGTGCTGACAGCTCAGAGCCGGGAGCCTGCTTTGGAATCTGTGTCTCTGTCTGTCTCTCTCTCAAAAATAAAGATTGAAAAAAAATTTTTTTTTAATTTAAAAAAAAGTAGTATCAGGCTCCTCAATTGATCCAGAGAACACAGAAAATGATTTGAGTGACTGTTGTCTCATTTCTAGATGCACAGGAGTGTAGCTAATTCATTAACACAAGTGATGCCCTGGGGCATTAGGACTTAATTTGCTCACAGAATCCCAGCTGAGAAACAGAAGGAGCAAGGAAGGGAGCCATAAGGATGTGATTTGGATACCTGGGGAAAAATAGCAAAAGGGAACTAAGATGTGGCCGCCGCCACCATGTCCTCAGCCGTGCTGAAGCACAAGTTCTCCACGGACATAACCTGGGAAGGCGGCTCTAAGGAGGTCAGTTGGGTGTTCAACCCGCTGGGGGAGTTGAGTTCGACACTGACCTGCCCAACGAGAAGGCTGCCATCAGCTCTGAGCACAGCACGGACACTCGCTAGAGACCCTGGGAAAACAGGAAAGGCTGTTTCCTACTTCAGCCCCAAGTAGCAAAGCCCTGGGTCCCTGGTCTGAAGACGGGCCAACGGGGGCATGACGCTGATCCTCTCCCGCCTTCCAGACAGACCGAGGGCCTGGCACTCCTGCTCAGCAAGGGGAGTCCCTACAGAGAGCCTTACTCTCTGCTGCTTGCCCAGTAAAGTTGAGCCACTTTTGGGGTGGGGTAGGGGGAGGATAATGAAGAAGCGATAATGAATTCCCCTGCCTACTGGAATGGGAATGAGGGGTGGGCAGGGGCAAGGGACTACCATTGCCCTTCAAATTTTGTATTATTACCATTTGACCTTAATACCGCATACATGCATTAGTCTAATAAAAACATTATTTTTAAATTTTAAAGAGGTTCAGAATGACAAAAGCACACAACTGCTAATAAGCAGCAGCATCTCCTAGGCTTAGGAGAGCACAGATAAAAAGCAAATTTCACTTTTTACACTCTGCATCGTTTACACTTTTAAATAAACAATAAAGAAAGAGTATTTCCACAGGACACAGCCTTTGAAATCATAGTCCTAGACTGAATGCTAGCTCCACTTGCCACCTCGGTAATCTTGGACAAGTTACTATATACAATTCTGAGCTACCCTGACTGTTAAATTGGGATGAAAACATTTACTTGATAAGGTTGTAAACAAAATTATATTAAATGGGGAGCACCTGGGTAGCCCAGTTGATTAACTGTCTGACTCTTGATTTCGGCTCAGGTCATGATCTCACGGCTCATTGAGTTGGAGCTCCACAACAGGCACTGTGCTGACAGTGCAGATTCTTGCCCTCTCCCTCTCTCTGCCCCTCCACCACTTGCTCTCTCTCAAAATAAATAAACTAAAAAAATTTATATTATATTAAATGAGGATGATGACAATAATACCGCCTAACATTTATTAAACCAGGCCCTGTGCCAATGATTTAACATACAAGGCTTCATTTCCTTCTCACAATCATCTTACGTATTTTCAGATTTTTTTAAAAAAATTTTAATGTTTATTTACTTTTGAGAGAAAGAGACAGAAGTGGGAGGTGGGGGGTGGGGCAGAGAGAGGGAGACACAGAATCTGAATCAGGCTCCAGGCTCTGAGCTGTCAGCACAGAGTCCAACATGGGGTTCGAACTCACGGACTGCTAGATCATGACCTGAGCTGAAGTCAGACGCTAACTGAGCCACCCAGGCACCCCCAGAATTCTCTTTTATGGATGAGAAAATATACCTCAGATTCTAATCCAAGGCAATATTTGAACCCACATAGTCTTACTCTAGGTTCATGCTTTGAACCACAACTGCAGTGATCAGTCAATAGCATGTAATTTTATAGTCATTATTATTAAAGGATAAATGTTATGGAAGAAATTAAAAGAAGAAAGTAGCTCCTGTGTGACATTCCTGAACATCCATATGTTTTAGATGACCTTGATTAAGATTTAGATGACACATACTAATTCTCTTGCCATCACTAAATAGCCTCCCCACGTAAAATGAGACTAATTTTTTCCAATAATGGTATCATTACAGCTTGGGTGAGGGAGGTGTTTTTGTTTCTGAGTAGGCTCCACGCCCAGCGTGGGGCTTGAACTCCTGACCCTGAGGTCAACAGTCATATGCTCCACCAACTGAGCCAGCCAGGAACCCTGAGATCATTTCTGAAGGGAGTATATGATCTTCCTGATCCGGAGGAAGGGACAACGTTTGCTCAAATTGTTACTTCCCCAACTCCTGTTTCTATGTTTCCTCAAATTCCAGAAAGTATTGATTACCCCTTGCCCGTCTTTCCCCCCCATCCTTTCATATATTCCTAACGCCTGATGCTGCAAAGGCAACATTTCATAAAATACTTAAACCATGTACAATGTCCAGTTTGAAAGTAGAAACTGGAATATAATACCAACATTGCTCCAGCAAAACATTTGAACTTATTTTTTTTCTGCGCAGCCACCAGAGAACAACAGTATGCTTCTGGGAGAGGAGGGAAAAAGGAAGAATTAAAAAAGAAAAGAAAAGAAAAAATAAATAAAAGGAAGGATAAGATGTCTTAATTTGACATTTACGGTACCTTGAGCCTTTATATCCACTGAGATCTTTGTCCATATCCAACTCAGGAGTGGATTCAATGATTGCTTGAACTTCTGACTTCTCTTCATTTTCAGCAGAGCCTTAGGAAAAGGACAAGATGGCAAAGATAATGCATATATCACCTACTGCCCCTAATATGAAAATCCTGTTGCGTTAATGGTTGTAGATACACCACTTCACTGTAAAAAAGTATTAAGGAGTGGGTTCTAGGAAACATGGGGTTAGACAATATGTCATATATTCAATTAACAGTCAATATCAGAAACTGATTTGTTTCGGGTTTCCTGGGACACAGTCCATTGTAACCCAGGCCAGAACTCCTGGTTTTTGTTTTTTACTAACTAAGGAGTGAAACAGAGAGAAATTAAAGATAAAGATTAATGGTCTAAGGCAGGAAAGAGAAAAACACTGTTCTTTCGCCTTTCAGGCTCCCCAAATCCAGCTCTCCAAAACTTTATTTGATCATAACCTCTTTTCAGCTTATTTACAACAGAGGACAATTTTATAAATCTAAAGCTGTAACACTCCTAAGCTGTATCTTTTCATACCCACATGATCTTTGCCAGAAAGTACAGAACTTACCTGTTGATACATTTCTAGTTTCTTGAGCTACCTGTACTTCAATATGCTTGCTTATCTCTGACTTATTTGGTGTATCTGCAACCTTCTCAAGTCCTTCATGATCTTCCTTTAAGGGAGTATCAGTAGGAATTATTGCCACATCTGACGCAGCTGTTGATGCTGGAGTGGTAGCTTTAGATCCTCCTTGGCTAACATCAGAAAGTTCATCCTACAAATAAAAAGAATTATGGTAACATCTTTAAATGATTCATTTACTTTAAACCATTTTTTCTTAAATGGGTTATGAAAAAGACTTGCAAAGAGAAAATTCTATTTAAAAATCAGTAATAGGGGTGGCCTGGGGGGCTCAGTCGGTTGAGCCTCTGACTTCGGCTCAGGTCATGATCTCACGGTTCATGGATTCGAGCCCCGCGTCGGGCTCTGTGCTGACAGCTAGCTCAGAGCCTGGAGCCTGCTTCAGATTCTGGGTCTCTGTCTCTGTCTCTGTCTCTCTCTCTCTGCCCCTCCCACCTCAAGCTCTGTCTCTCTCTGTCTCAAAAATAAATAAACATTTTTTAAAAAGTTAAAAAAATAAAAATCAGTAACAGTCACTGAGGGGTGCCCGGGTGGCTCAGGTGGTTAAGTGTCTGACTTTGATTTGGGTCATGATTTCACAGTTTGTGAATCCGAACCTTGCATCGGGCTCTGTGGTGACAGCTCAGAGCCTGGAGCCTGCTTTGGATTCTGCGTCTCCCTCTTTTTCTGCCCCTCCCATGCTCACCCTGTCTCTCAAAAATCAATAAACATTAAAAAAAAAAAAAAAAAAAGACTTAGCAAAGTGCTCACACATACTAAGTGTTTAAAGTGCTAGCAATTATTACAATTTAACACAATACATTGTCGACAACTCTGAGAATTCTGAAACATATGGCCTAACGCAAAAAAAGTATAAACAAACATTAAGTTATGGTATGGAGGGTAATGATTTTTAGTGACTTTATTTCTCCCTTTAAAATGTTATCCTTTTTAACTTTTAAAGAACATTGTTTGGGGCGCCTGGGTGGCTCAGTCGGTTGAGCTTCTGACCGGCTGAGCTCATGATCTCACGGTTTGTGGGTTTGAGCCCCGCGTCCGGTTCTGTGCTGACAGCTAGCTCAGAACCTGGAGCCTCTCTCTCTGACCCTCCCCTGCTCATGCTGTCTCTCTCTCTCAGAAGTAAATTTTAAAAAATTTAAAAAAAGAACATTGTTAAAAACTAACAATGTAACAATCAAAATTAATACATACTCTAAGCTTCATATTACACCATCTGAGAGAGATTTAGGGTGGTTTTGGTGCTGAGAAGTCAGAGAGTGTACAAATTCAAATGTAAAACTCAATCCAAGTATAAGAAAGCATTTTCAGCATATAGTCACCTATTCGTGCTACGGTGGACAGCAAATTGCAATGAAAGCAACCACACTTGGGAACTGTATCACCAAAACTCAGCTTTACAACATTAAAACATTTTCTTTTTTCTTTTAGTTTATTTTTGAGACAGAAAGAGACAGAACATGAGTGGGGGAGGGTCAGAGAGAGAGGGAGACACAGAATCTGAAACAGGCTCCAGGCTCCGAGCTGTCAGCACAGAGCCCGACATAGGGCTCGAACCAACAAACCGCAAGATCATAATCTGAGCCGAAGTCGAACGCTTAACCGACTGAGCCACCCAGGAGCCCCTAAAACATTTTCATCTTCATTATCATCGCCTAATGAATTTTGATGTAGCACAAACTTCACTAGAAAGGGTGGCTGAATATCTATAAAACCAATTACCAGATGAGAACATAGGTTTATGTAAATTATATTTGCTGTGGCAAATCAAGAGCTCTTTATCTATAAGATGTGGTATATATATATATGTATATGTATGTGTGTGTGTGTATATATATATATATATAAAATGGAATTTTATTCCACCATAAAAAAAAAGAATGAAATCTTGCCATTTGGAACAACAAGGATGGAGCGAGAGAATATTATGCTAAGTGAAATAAGCCAGTCAGAGGAAGACAAATACTATATGATTTCACTCATATGTGGAATTTAAGAAACAACAGTGTGTGTCCACCGGGGGTAGGGAGACAAACTGAAAACCAGACACTTAACTATACTGAACAAAAACATGGTTACCAGAGGGGAGGAGGGTGGCGGGATGGGTGAAATCGATGAAGGGGATTCAAGAGTATGCTCATTTTGATGATCACCAAGAAGTATAGGGAACTGCTGAAGCCCCATATTATACACCCAGAAACTACCATAACAATGTCAGTCTCAAATAGAACACTGTTATGTTAACTGAAATTAAAATTTTTTTTAAAAAAGTTCTTTATCCCTTCAACAGTGTCCTGCCCCCAACTCTTCATCCCCATCCCAGGCTCTCAGGTTTGTTGTTGTTTCCCCCCATCCCGGCCCGTTTTTTGTTTGTTTGTTTGTAAATGATGAGAGACATGGAACATCACAGAATGTGAATGCCATTCCAGCATAGGTTACCCATTTAAGTCTGAGTATCTTGGCTTTGCTGGTGGGCTTGAGCTCTAACACATGGTTAAAACCCAAGTGTTTGCAATGACTTTCATCCCAGAATATGCTCCCTATTCTCAGTTTGACTTTATATTGTACTTGGACCTGAACAGTTGGTCAGCTACTGATGATTTTATTGCTCATCATTGTTTTAAGAAACACATATATCCCTGACAGATAATGATCCATTCACCAAAAACAAATGTCCCCTGAGCTTTTGAATGTATCAAAAGAAAAGTAATCTATCCATGTTAGCATGCAATTCTTACTTAAAATGAATTTTCAGTGACATGGGAAAATGGCTACATGTTAAATTGGAAAAATATACATATATTTACTTTTAAAGAAAGAGTGTACAGGGGCGCCTGGGTGGCTTAGTCGGTTAAGCATCCGACTTTGGCTTAGGTCATGATCTCGCGGTTCATGGGTTCGAGCCCCGTGTCGGGCTCTGTGCTGACTGCCAGCCCAAAGCCTGGAGCCTATTTCAGAGTTTGTATCTCCCTCTCTCTCTGACCCTCCCCTGCTCATGCTGTCTCTCTCTCTCCCCTAGAAATAAATAAAAATATTTAAAAAAAAATAACTTTAAAGAAAGAGTGTACATATGATATAATTTGCAACAGCACAAAACTTCCAATAACTTAAATGCTTCAAAACAGATAGCAAATTACACCATATCCACATAAGAGACTAATATACAGCAGTTAAAAACTGTGTTGTAGAAGGGTACTTCCTGAAATGGAAAATATTCAAAATACTTTGCAAATGAGACTGGGGATTAAAAGAATTCAGTGCAGGGGCGTGGGAGTAGGGGGGGGGGGCTCAGTCCATTAAGTGTTCTACTCTTGATTATGGCTCGGGTCATGACCTCACAGTTATACGACTGAGTCTGTCAGCAAGGAGCCTGCTTGAGATCCTCTCTCTCCCTCTCTGTCCCTCTCCCACTCACCTGCTCTCTCCCTTTCTCTCTCTCTCTCAAAAAACAAAACAGAACAAAAGAACAATTCAGTACAGTATGAGCAACTTAAAAAATATGGCTAGAAAAAGCTGTTACGATGATGATTTTTGATAGTCCACTGGGTAACCAACTATCCACTGGGTAGTTGGATGAGTGATTTTTGCTTTTCCTTTGCCCTTGTTAGCACTTATTTATATATAGAAGTGTGTGTGTGTGCACACGCGTGCATATGAACAGACGTAGGAAAAAATTACAAAAATCAGAATATAAATCTACATATGAATTATGGTCTCAAAAAAAAACTTCTAGCTATATAAAGTGGCTACAGAATACAGGTAAAAAGTTTTTTTCCTGCATTTAATATTTCTGTTTCCAAATTTTTTAATGATAGGCATGTGTTACTATTATAAAAAGGAAAAAAGTAAATTAAATATAAAATAAATTTGAGGGGCGCCTAGGTGGCTCAGTCATTTGAGCATCTGACTTTGGCTCAGGTCATGATCTCGCAGTTCGTAGGTTCAAGCCCCACATCCCTCTCTGTGCTGACAGCTCAGAGCCTGGAGCCTGCTTCAGATTCTGTGTCTCCCTTGCTCATGCTGCCTCTCTCTCTCTCTCTCTCTCTCTCTCTCTCTCTCTCAGAAATAAAAACATTAAAACATATTTTAAAAAATAATAAATAAATTCAAATTAGTATAACTAGATGAAGTTATCTTTGACTTTGAAAGAGGGTTTTGAGAAAACCATTTATACTATTAATCAGTCAGGAGCTATCCATTCATTATTGCCTTGAAAGATAACAACACTAAATGACCATATGCTGATAAAATTAGCTGTATTTGTGGAGAGCCTGGGTGGCTCAGTCTGTTAAGTGTCCAACTCTTGTTTTCGGCTCTGGACACGATCCCACAGTTCGTGAGGAAGCCCTGGGTCAGGTTCTGCACTGACAGCTCCGAGCAGGCTTGGGATTCTTGTGTCCTTCTCTCTCTGTCCCTCCCCCAAACAAATAAATAAACTAAAAAAAAAAAAAAAAATTAGCTGCATTTGTACAGCCAACTATTTTCTTCTGTGCATCTCAAGTACCAGGCTGATTTCCAGTGGGAAGGAAGGAAGACAAACCAAAGAAAGAGCTCAATTCTCTAATACTCCTCTACTCTTAAAACTAAAGGACAAAATTGATGACTATTTCCCTAAGCTGTTGACTGATGCCTAATATAAAAGTATTTGATTAAAAAAATTACTTATAATTAAAGAGTTCACAGCATAAACAGTTTGGCAAAAGACCTCCTGCCCCAAATCATCTGTGAGTCTGGGAATGGAAATAAAGTAACTGAGAGAGCCAAACCTAAACCTAGAAGAGGGCTGTGCAATGTTCAGGCTACAAAGATGTGGTAAATTAGGATCTGCTTAGAAGAAAATGTTTTTTTTAAATGTTTATTTATTTTGTGTGTGTGGGAGGGAACAAGAGCGGTGTGTATGGGGCAGACCTGGGGGGGAGAGGGAGAGGGAGGGAGGGAGAGAGATAGAGAGGGAGGGAGGGAGGGAGAGAAAGAAAATGAATGAATCCCGCGCTGTTGGCGCAGAGCCCAACATGGGGCTTGATCTCATGAACTGTGAGATCATGAGCTGAGCTGAAATCAAGAGTCAGACATGTAACCAACTGAGCCACCTAGATGCTCCAAGAAGAAAATGTTTTATATTTGTCGTGGGCTATC